ATTACCTTTATTTAAAAAAAAATTGATTAATGGCACTTTGAAATTTCAGAGTGAGTTTTTCCCTACTCATCCCTTACAAAGATTTTTTAATAGGTTTGTTTTATGTGTTGGTTCTTGGGTGCTACAGGCCATCGCCATAAGAAATCAAAATACTGGAAAGAAAACAACTGCACCAATGAATACAGTCAAATTCATGTTTGGCAAATATGGTTTAAACTCCCTTCAGTCTTGGGGTCATCCTCTGAGTGAATCGAAGAGGAAGTGGTACCACCTGGAACAAATTCTAGGATCTGATTCTAGAATATAGAGAGAAGTCCATTCTTATCTTGCAAACTTGCAAAACAAGAAGAGCATGAAAAATTCATTTATATTTCCAGTGCTAGGTTGGAGCAGGTGTGTGGATGAAAATGCTAAGTGTTAGCTTGTGGTCTGGCTGAAGTGTCCACAGAAGGAGGATACCAGGAAGCTCAGGGCATGAAAACTCATCTTCCTGGATTAAAACAGAAGTCCATTTCTTTTCTTTTACCTGGAGAGTTAATAAAAAGAATAAGGGAAACTGGGAAGAAGAGAGTGTAAAATTATAGCACATCCTGGATCCGGGTTCCATTAAACATGAAGTTTCTTCCAAAAAAAATTAAACGCTTATAGCAATGCCAATAATTCCATAGGTCCTTCATGGGATATAACAAGTGAAGTTTTTTTTTTTTCCTAAATGGACTTACGGAGATTAAGTGCTTTAAGTTATGTATTATTGGCTCAGCGCCTATAGCTCAACCAGCTAAGGCGCTAGCCACGTACACCTAAGGTGGCGGGTTCGAATCCCCAGCCCGGACCCGCCAAACAACAATGATGGCTGCAACCAAAAAATAGCCGGGCGGTGTGGCGGGCGCCTGTGGTCCCAGCTACTTGGGAGGCGGAGGCAGGAGACTCGCTTGAGCCCAGAGTTAGAGGTTGCTGTGAGCTGTAATGCCACGGCACTCTGCCCAGGGGGACAGCTTGAGGCTCTGTCTCAAAAAAAAAAAAAAAAAAAAAGTTATGTATTATTGACTTATAAACACTTGACACAGCCATGAGTTAGCCAACCATTGGTATTCTTTTCTTAAGGGAAAGAAAGTAAAGAGATGCTTGCTGAAGGCACAAATTTTAGTATGGAAGGCTGGAATATAATTTGTTCTTTTGACTTCCAAAATAGTTTTCATTTACCAGATGACTACACTGTTTAAAAAAATTATCCATAAATAAATTTTGTATTTGTTGGTTAAAGATGTCCTGAAAAAAATTCTATGTACTATTATTTCCTTAGCTTTCACTGACTAGCTAATTCGCTAAATAAAGCTAATAAACTTAGCTTTATTTTCCTTAGTTTTCAGGCAGTTTTTCATTGATTTAGGTCCTATTATAAGTCCTTGAAAAGAGAAGAGACAGAGATGTGGATGTAGAGACCAAGGCAGAGATTAATGTAGAGACACAAGGAGAGAGAAGGAAAAAAAAGGAGGCCAGAGAGACGAGGAGGAGGAGGAGGAGCTGGTTTTGGAATCTCAGATTTTTTACTCAAGTTTCATATCATTAAATTTGATGGAAATTAATTCCTAAAGAAGCAGATTCGGAAAAATTGCAGAGCACAAATTTATCCTTATCTGCTTTTCCAGAACAGGTTTGTTACAAAACCCAGAAGCTAGCCAAAAAAAAAAAAAAAAGAAAAGAAAGAAAGAAAATAAACATAAATCCCAACACCTTATTCTACCTGATCTACTCAACTCCAGAAACAAGAACTCAAACCTCATGATGAATTGACATAGTAACATGGCTTATTCCGACATCTCTTCACATTTAAAGGTCAAGATACTAACCTCCTTACTTATAGCATGGAGACAGAGGGTGGTGGAAGGAAAGAAGACTACAAAACTAGAAGGGCGCTTTGGGACACACCAGTCTTACCAACCACTGATCAGACTCTGTTGTGAGCCCTGTTAAGACTCATCCACCAGTTTGTCCAACTGGCTTGAGTTTTGTTCAGAGAAGAATTTCAGCCCCTTTGGGTAGGTTGGGACAATCTTTGACTCTTTTCTCTTTGGCTTGGTGGGTTCTCCCTGGGATGCATAAGCCTCAGAAGGTCAAAGCAGAAAGAAGGATCAAGGACTGAAAAAGACGACTATAGGTAACCAAAGAGTCCTGTTCCAAGCAAGTTGCAGCACATGACAGCTGACAAAATCCCTACATGTAGCTGAGCTCTCCCTGTGCAACCAGCAGAGATGGCATCAGCTGCTGCTCTATCTGGGGTAGACCTGGCTATGCTTCTGGGATGGTTCAGAGAAGAAAAATCAGAAACCAAAAAAAGAAAAAAAAAAAACACCCAAAGCTGCTGGTATGGGCAGTGCTTACTAATGTGGCATCTCTTTGCTTACCTTCATGGAAATTTAGGTGATGACGCCTGAGCTGATTTTGTATGGCTTTTGTTAAAACAAGAGCCTCAGTGAGGACATGTTTTAAAGATAAATTATCTAAATCTGGACCTGATTCTTTAAAGGTTCTTGTCCCACTTGCTAGGGACCTGCTTCTTTCTTTCCTGCATCATAAAGTCCTCCCTACACGTTTTTGATGGTACTCAATGCTCTGGGATCCAGGAAGGAAGAACCTGCAGGTGGGTAAGAGAGCTAATGGGAACAAACCCACACAAAAGCATGGAAACACTTCATAACAAACCAGACCTTCATAACAAACTGATTAACAAAAACAGTAGTAAATTCCTTAACCTTAAAGTCTCACAAAATCCCTCAAAGGTAGATATCAATCTGATCCCCTAATGCTTTATATCTGCCTTTTTTTTTTTTAGATATTTATATATGATTATATATTATAACCGAGTTGAGAAAGAATTTCTCAACTTGTCCCTGGCTCTACACATTGAAGAAACACACTGTCCAAAAATGAGACATCCAGAGGAAACAGAATATGATGGAAAATTTAGAACTTTATAAAAATCAAAATTACTTAGCATTTTATTCTATTATTTCAGGAGAGACCTAATTTAACGGCAGTGAGCTTTTATCCAGTACATGGACATTTTGTCTACATTCTACGCACCCAATAGTCCCTGCACCTTAACACAGTGTGTCAGATCATCTTGTGAAGATCACCAGGTGAGTCGCAAACCATGTTTCATTAGCACGTGGCATTGCCCAACAGCTGAGCATGGGAGAGCAGTCAGGCCCAGAAATAGGCTTGGATTGGATCGAGGTAACCATCTCACGGGATGGGTCGGTGCTAACATGCAGCAAAGTGGAGGCCAGAATGGGAAGATGGAAGGCAGGGGACCCTCAGGCTCACCACGTGGACTCTAGAGGGGGTGGATCAGTGTAGGGAAGGGAGACACTGGTTGAGGGGGTGGAACATGGTGGTCTTCTTTTTGTGGCCCCAGAGTTAAGACAGGACAAAATCCAGAGCATGTGGCATTCAGGGAAACTGGTCTTGGTGATCTCAATACACTACAGGGACATTGAGTGGGAGGACAAGTGAAGCCAAGAACAGAAACAGTTTTTTTTTTCAGCTAGAAGAGTAGTAACTGTGCTCATGGCTCTTTTGGAGCCCAGGGGTTGCTAGAGGGTACCGTCCCTTCACAGGGCAGGTAATTCCTGGTAGCACTCTGTCCTCCTGGGGATGGAAAGGGAAGGAAACACAGAGAGATGCACAGAGAGACACAGAGGAAGAGACAGAGGTGTGCATCCCCACCCTGCGTCTGCCCGGAGCCTTACATGAAGCGGGGAGCATCTACACGCCGGCCTCGCTAGAACATCACACTGCCCTGGTTTCCTTTCCTCTCCCGCTCATACCGACAGGGTGAAGACTGATAATAGCAAGGGAAACTGAACATACGACCAAAGACTCTGCTGAGGGCAGATCCCGGTTGTCATCTTCTTTTGTGTAGAATTTCTCAAGGTGCTGCCATAATTTTTAATCTAAAGAGAAGCATAGGTCTGAGACCACAGGGACCTCTTTTCAAGGGAAAGAGCAGAGGCAGAATCTGATACCTAGGGGAGGAGGGCCTGATCAGCTGTAAAAGGGAAGGCTGGCATTCACATTTATTCAGAGGCAGCAGGAAACCAAAGAAGATTAGGAGAATGAGTTCGTGACTTAACAGAAAATTCTCTTTTATTTTCTCATCTTAATAGAAGAGTAAGTGCAAGTTAAGGGAAAAGAAACCCAATGTCTTGGTCAAGGGAAGCTGAATAAAAGAAGTTGATAAGTTCATTGGTACTAGAAAAACCAGGTGGTCAGGTGACCGCATCTGCAGAGCTTCACAACACTTTATTCAGGACTCAGATACTTGTGTGTGTCCAGGAAGGTTTCTCGACACAGTGAATTTACCGCTGATACTACTGTTTGCAGGCAAATTCCATTTCTGGCCATTGCTCTCAGCCTACATTTCTCCTACTGTTGAAGTGGCATAGGGTATCACTGCAATTCCCTTTCTCAAAACACCATGCAATAGACTTGCTGGCTCAGAATGGTTGTCTTGTTGGAGGCCTTTCCCTAGGGAAAGCTGCATTTCCAAGGTGGAAAAAAAGCAATTGTGTGCACACAAAGCAGCCCATAGCAGCACTTTGGCGTGAAATGACGCTGAGCAGAGGAAACCTTAAAAACAATACAAGGCCCAGCGTCAGTCTTAGGGAACGATCATGCCTGTTAGGATCGGGGTGTTATATATATTTCACATTCCCAGCCACCCTCCAGCACCCAGGTGCTAAGTGGGAGAGGAAAACGAAGATGGAAGAAGGTCTGAGAGCTCTGTCTCTGCCACACTGGCCTCCTGTCTTGGAGCTACTTTGGTTTGGGGGCTGACCATGGGTCAAAAAACTCCATCCATAGCTAGAAGAGAAGGCAGGGCCACGACAAAGGATTCTCTAGCCACATATTTGAAGTTAGCTGATCAGGGCCAAAGTAGAGGCCTTATGTCTATTTCAATCTAAAAAGTAAAAAAAAAAAAAAAAAAGCCAAACAAACAAACAAACAAAAAAAGGAAATACTTTCAATAAGAAAAAAAAAAGAACAGGCTCCTTCTAAGAAAAATAACAGCCACAGACTGCTCCTCCCTAAGGGGTAGAGCCTGTCTGGGCAGGAGGATAAACAGTGTTTGCCCACTGAGCCCTCAGTGCAGGGGCCTCAGTGTCCCCCTGCGGAGACTCCTGGGTGGCAGGTTCCATCTGCTCCTGGTGGGGAAAGGAGGGCCCTGCCTGGCACCCTCTGTAGGGCAGCTGCCCACCTGCTGTGGCGGTACTGGGGAGGAACTTAAGCAGAGGGTGCATTTCCACCAGATAAAGCCAGTTATGTGTTCCCTCAGATGGAACCCTATACCAAAGGATCAGTGGCTAGCCAGGAAAGGGTGCTCTTTCTCAGTGTTTCCGCACTGGGATGGTTAGGAATGACATGGTAGCCTGAGGCTGTCTACTGCCCAGCTCTTACTCTGGGCAGGGGCGAAACCCAGTCCTGGCCCAGAAAAATATTCAGGGGTGACTTGGGCCCCACTGGAGCCTGCTTTGCTAGAAGGAGCAGCAGCCCAGGTCTAAGCTGAGGTATATTTACTAATCACCTTACTGCATCCTGACAAACTGACCCTCATCCCCAAATCCGCTGCAGAAGCTGCAGACCCAATGGTCCCTCCTCCTGAGAGGTCCTCAGGAAGTTCAGAGTCTTTCACTGAAGCTTCTCTTGTTTTCTGTCTATCAGCCTTTCCCATCCTTAAGGAAGCTCCTGCCCGATGAGGGGTGGCCCACTTGGATATGTGTGTCCTGCCCTCTCAGGTGAGTGGCAGGGAAGGCTGGGCCTCTGGCATGTAGCCTCGCTGGGCTTGGCAGAGAGGCCCACTGCCTCCCGGACCAGAGTGTGGGCTGACTTCAGCCAGGATGTGCTGGTACGGCTATAGCACTGTTCGCATACTGAATTGCTTCTATACTGGCTGGAAAGCAGACTCTGCCTTGAGTTCCTGAGGTGTCTCCTGCCTCCACCCTCTGAGGGTTTCCCCACGACTAATGGGCCAATGCCTGGGACAGCATGGGCACCAGCACTGTGGCTGAGCTCCACAAGGTTGGTGCCTTGGCCATAAGGGCTGTTGAGGACTTTTACTATCACCCTTACCACAGCCTCAGGCACCCAGTGGACCCTGGAAGATCTCCTTACCTACCCTAAGTGACACAGCACCTACTGTGCAGGCGACAGGCCTCAAGGAAAGGGGGCTGTCCCCCACCCCAGCACCATCGCTTCTTTTGCTTGGACCCTCTCCCTCACGGTGGGGGCCGCTGGGCTATGGCTTTTCTCACCTAGACCAGCCCTTTCTGCTGTGGCCACAGCGCCCTGACCCCTTCCACTTCAGCCTGCCCCTCCCTCCCCTTGGCATCCAATGCTCGTGGCTTAGCCTGCACCTCTTTGGGGAAAGTAAGCCACAGGATAACGCATGCTGCTGCAGTTGCCCGGGTGGCAGTGGTGCTGGCTGAGGCATGAGAGCTGGTGAGGGAGGAGATTCCTCTCCTGTGGTCTCCACTACTCCCCAGGTAAGAGCCAGAAAGTCTTCCAGGCTTCTCAGGGCAATGAGCGTAGACACAGGCCGGCTAGGTCCCTCCATAGCATTTAGAAAAATGGGAAGGGGCAAGGGCTAGCAGAGCTGTCCTCGTGTCCCTTCTACCTTGGGAATAACACCCACGCTCCTGTGTTTTCTTTCCCCAGCAAAGAGGCAGAACTATGGCAGTGCCCATCTTGCAAAGGGGAATGAAGCAGTTTGGTGGTCTGACTGGTTTTCTGATTGTCTTTCACTTCCGAGTCTCCAGTGACACACGGTGTCCTCCGCCTTCCTTCCCCCTTTTCCTCCCCCCCGGGCCGCACCGGCTTCCCAATTCGGTCTTGGTTTTCTCCGTGTGAGAGAGCATGCATCGGAGGGGGGAGCAGCCTCTAGCATTTGTCATCTTCTTCCGTGTCACTTAGGAGGTCGCTGACAGCCCCACACATCATGCCTGGCCCAGGCCCCCCACGCCTCCGCCGCCGATAGTGCCCGTTGGGCATCTGCCAGCTGTGCCGCAGGGGTGGGGCCGAGCCGATGGTGTTGGAGCGGCCCAGGCTGGTAGCCACGGCTGCTTCAAAGGTGAGCGTCTCCTCCTCGCCACAGTCCGAGGCGTGGGAGTCTTCATGCAGGGCCAGGTAGGGCTCGGAGATGTAGCGCTGTGGGGAAGGCTGCTGGCCCTGCTGGGGGTGTGGGGAGTTGGAAGACTCGGTCAGGCAAGCGCTGTGGCTTTCCAGGACTTGGGAGGTCAGGGGGGAGCCCCCCTCACTTCCATCAGCGGGTGGAGAGATGCTGCCAGCGTGTCGCATCAGGGAGCTGTAGGAAAGGAGGGGCCGAGGCTTTGGTGGGACAGGGGGGAGCTGCCGACGACTGCGTCTTGGGGTGCTGGTGTCAGAGATGGAGGGGATGGAGCTCTCACTCAGGGAGCCTGTGCCCTGTACAGCAGGAGAGACATGGCATGTTAGATTGGGCTTGGCAGGATTCCCATTTGGGACCCTGTCAATGTCCCTGGCCTCTTCTGTAGAAAGCCCTGGAGTCTGAACTCTGGGGGAGGAAGGCCCTAAGTAGAGCCCCCTGCACTATGCACACCCACTTGGGAATGCAGGGATTGAAGAGACCCAGGAGCCTATAGCACCTACACAAGGACATCACAACTTTTAATGTGCATATGAATCTGGGGGTCCAGTTAGACTGTATGTGCAGGCTCAGCAGAGCTGCGGTGAGGCCTGAGATCCTGCACCAAGAGCAAGCTGTCAAGTGATGGTAGCGCTGTAGGACCCCACAGCAAGCACAGAGCTGGAAGCTGTATACCTAACGAGTGGCACAGGGAAAGAAAGACAACTCCGTGAAAGGTGAATGAATGTGCTGATCGGGAAGCTTTTCCCAGGAAGTAAGTTCTAAGGGAAGTACAAATCCTTCCCTGTCTTCAGCTTGCTTGCTGAACTCAGCTTCTACACCCCACACACATCTGTTGGTTCAGGCCTTACTTGACTTCACTTATTCCCAACAGTACCTGAGCACAGGTGTTGGTGAATGGACCTCCAGAATCTCCTGGGGAGGGATCCTTTCCAATTTAGGTTTCTGAGCCTCACTTTCAAGTAGCCTCATTGGAGTTTTTGAGATCCCAGGGATGTGCAGTAAGCTTCATAGGTGGTTCTGTTCTCTACTAAAATTTGAAAACTACTCTTCTACAAGATCAACTTCTAAACTGTCCATGCCTCTAAAAGTCTGCTTTGGCAGCCCAGCCTCTTCCCATTGATTGTTTCTGTTAAGCAAGTCTCTCATCTGGGTTCACAGAACCTTAATCAGAGATCTAGGGCTGGGAGTGAGAAGTATCACAGGGACAAAGCTTTGGTATTCATACAGCTCTGGTATTTATTTCTTAGACATAGGCTGGTGGTTCAGTAAAAGGACAGAAGGAAAGACATGGTTTTCTTATCGGGATGGCCAAAAGTTGGGTAAGTGATGTTGAGTTGCTTTTATGAATCTTGGGCTGAGAGATGAGTCACTATTCCCACTAATACTAAGGATCACACAATGGGCAAAGACACTTTTCTGGCTCAAAGACCATCCTTTCCTTCCAAATCTGGCTGAGACATCTGTGCACTTATTTCTATCTCCGGATCTTGAGGGCTGGGACAGAATGACCTCTAGGCACACCATCATCTTTCTTGGGGGAAATCTGGTTTCCTGTGAATTCAGAGCACCTCTGAGTATATAAGTATTGAGTAGTGGACCTCCCTGCACAATGGGAGTTGCTTCCTGTAAAGCGGTCTCTGTGGGTGCTTAATGGTGACTACACCTAATGTTCCACTCTGCCCTGCCCTATCCTGCAGGCCCCAGCTTCCTCTCCACGCTCACCTGTCTGTTTGGGGTCTGTGATCTGCCCTCGCTGGGTGACCTGGACTGCTGGCGCTCTGGGGACTCCCAGTCAGCCTGGGTCCCTCGCTCCTCTGAATTGCAGCGTGAGACGTCAGGAGAGAGGAGATGTTTTCGCTCTTTTGATCGTCCCCGCTCCCTGCCCCCTGAACGGTGGGCATCGGACTTATGGCCTGTGAAAGATGACAAGACCACCTGGTTATGATTCAACTTCCACTGGCTACTGAAGGGGAAGGGACGTTTCACTGGGCGTCGCATCACAACCTGGGACTGAGCCCTGGAATGCACTGCTTGCTCCCATCCCTCCAGATACAGACACTGGGCACTAACTCCTTCTTGACAGGATGGTATCTGCAGGGGGGACCTCCTCAAAACAGACATGACAGAGCTTCTTCCTCTCTCTCTGCTATGTGAGGACGAAAGGTGGGAACAAACCTCGCGAGACTCAGGATCTACTGGCACCTTCTTGCATTTCCCAGCCTCCAAAACCATGACACATAAATGTTGCTTGCTAAAGCTGTCCGGTCTACAGTAATTTGTTGTGGCAGCCTGAATTAAGACAGGCCCCTAAAAATCCGTGGCCTCTCTAAGCATGTCAACAGATGATCAGAAGAAGCCGGAAAGAAAGGCAGGCTAGAAAATTACCCTTCTATGATCAGGTAAGTCTGCAAGTTGCCACTAGACAGACATGTATGTCAAAGAATGCAACCTGTCCTGCTTCCATTTATGCTAGACATAATAGAGATAGGCTCTTTGCCAGCAATATGGCTCAGGAATTCTCTGTCCTAAACATGGATATGTAACTTTTTTAGAGGAAGACAGCGGCACCAGCAGAAGGGGATTATGTTTCTATGAACTAAATAATGGCACACATAACATAATGCCAGGGTAAGAAGCAAATGGCTATCAGTTCTAGTCCCAGTTCTGCCACTTACCTGGCTCTATGATAAGAGGTAAATCACTGCTTTTTCAGCTAAAATAAAAAGGTCAAACCACACTAATTATTTTCTTTTTGTTATTTTAAAAAATCAGTGTAACACTTTTTCCTTAAAAAGAAAATCTTGGCTAGGCATGGTGGCTTATGCCTATAATCCTAGCACTTTAGGAGGCTAAGGCAGGAGGATTGCTTGGAGCCAGGAGTTTGAGACCAGTCTGAGCAAGCGCAAGACCCTGTCTCAAAAAAAAAAAAAAATAGAAAAATTAGCTGTAGTAGCATATGGTTATAGTCCTAGCTACTTGGGAGAGGCTAAGGCAGAAGAATCACTTGAGCCCAGAGGTTTAATGCTGCAGTGAGCTATGATGATGCCACTGCAGTCTGGCCCAGGAGACAGAGTTAGACCTTATCATTATAAAACAACAATAAAAAAGTAAAACTCTTAAATGAAACTCAAATATAGGAAGCAATTCCAGGTAGCATGTTTGTTCAGGTTGGTTCTCTAATATACACCTAAGGAACCAAGTAGTTTTGCAAAAGGCTATGTGAAAGCCTCCTTTAATTACTCTGGAAGGAAGGAATTGCATCAGCCTTTGTGATGAACACAGAGGGCTTTGGCTGCTGTTTCAGGTTATACATTAGGTGTAGGAACCCCCTTGGGTAAAGAGAATCTCTTTCTTTAGCCCTTGTCTTTTTTCTTTTCTTTCTTTCTTTTTTTTTTTTTTTTTGAGACAGAGCCTTAAGCTGTCCCCCTGGGTAGAGTACCGTGGCATCACAGCTCACAGCAACCTCTAATTCTTGGGCTTAAGTGAGTCTCCTGCCTCCGCCTCCCAAGTAGCTGGGACCACAGGTGCCTGCAACAACACCCGGCTATTTTTTGGGTGCAGCCATCATTGTTGTTTGGCGGGCCCAGGCTGGATTCAAACCCAACACCTTAGGTGTATGCGGCTGGTATCAGCCATAGGCGCTGAGCTAGCCCTTGTCTTTATCTGAAGTCTGTTCCAGTTACCTATATTCCTTGCCAGAACAAGTCCATTGGGGCAGCTGCCTGCTGCCTGACGGAAGGGTGGGACACAGAAGACCTGCTCACCTGAGTCAGAGTTCAGGCGATGGGCTGACAGCCGCAGGGAGGAGTGGTAACTCCGGCGGCGCGACTTATAGGTGTTTTCACTGCTCCGTTCCATGGAGAACTCCTCTAGCCATGAGGAGTTTGAACGCTTATCCCGAATGGTGGAAAATGAACGCCTCATGGAGCTTGGGTCTGTCATCACCTGGAAATATGAGCCCCCAGAGAAACAAAAGCCAGGATTAACTATCAAAGGGGTCCAAAAGCACAAAGCGGCGCAGACTGCTGAGGACTGCAAATTGTGACTCCTGCAAATTGTGACCTCCATTGAATTCCTCTTGTTTAGATCTTAGCTGGAGGAGGCTGATCTAGAAAGTATCCTTATATTTTGTTAACATGGTCACTGATACTGGTCCAGGATATTATCTTCATGCTCAAGAAAGCAACAGGTGAATGCACTAGGGCAGGGCCAGGCAGACAGATGGGTACTGTGCAAGCATCTCGCAGAGCCGTCTACACCACAGGGCTCAGCCACTACCTGCAGCAGATACTGAGCTGCTTTAAATCATATAGAGCAACTATCCACAAGGCTACACCATGAAAAGAAGCATGGCTTTGCCTTTTCTTCCTTTTTTTATGCCCTTGCTAGAGAAACCCTATCCTATAACACTAGCAACCTGGAGAGCTCTCCATCAAACCGCTGCGAAGATGGCACCACTTTCCCCCTACTGCCAATCCCATCCAGCCCCACCTGGAACACAGGCATTTTGATTCGCCACAGATGTTAAAACAAATTCACAAAAACTTCCTGTCTCTGTCAAAACCTGATGTAAGACAGACAGACAGAAAAAAGAAGCCAGGAAAACAGACAAGGAAATGAGGCGTGGCCTGCACTGGTTAGGACAGACAGTCCCGACACAGAGCTGTGTGTTTAAGTAACTGTGCATGTGCTGGGAGAGGCAGGAGAGGAAACAGAGAAAGTCCTGGAAAATATTTCTTGCATGGCTGGTTGAGTCTTGAGGATGCTTAATCCATCCAGAGGGAATTATGCCACTCGGTTGGGTAGGCTGTGGTGGGCAGGGGTCAGTGAGAACAGCAGGGAGCAGCTTGGCTTATCAGAGAAGGCCTCTGATCCAGGTTTTGCTACTAGGGAAGGGGTGGGGCAAGCCAAGGCTCACCTTAAGATATCAGATATTATTTCATAACCCACCTAATATAGCGCTGGATGCCACTGCATAAGGTAGGTGGTAGTGGCTTTTTACCTGGGGATCCACAGTCAGACGTGGCATAGAGGATGCCCTCCCAGATCCCGCATGCTCCTGGGTGTCCGGAGGAAGGTAGATGCCATGGTTAGAGGGCTGCACGCTTTTTAATTCACTAACCTCTGGCTCCTAGAAATAAACACACAGCCAAGCTTGTGGGACTTGGTTCCATCTCATTGCTTCTCACCTCCGGTGGCTGACTTGGCTTCCTCAAGAACGGCTTTCAGAAGAGAAACTTGCATCTCTTAAGGTCTCAGTTGTATGTGTATGTGTTTCTGTGTGCACATATGTGGTATGCCAGATGTCCCAAACAAAAAAGCTCTAACTTGGGATTGAGCGGTGAAAGTCACCTTTTCTGGTCGAGTGTGATCTTTTTATCACTAAGGTAACTTCAGGCTTTATAGCTTTACAAAACAAATATTGTGGGTCAGAATACTTTCAGATACGTGACGGTGGTAATGTTGGGGTTATTCTTTTCATTTGAAGAAGACTTTTATCAATTAAGTAGAAACCAGTATTCAAAGGGAAGGCAGCCATTTCTGATGTCAAATATATCTTCTCAAGCCTTAAGACATATGACTTTATTAGCTAAAAGAGTTTTCTTATGATTGAAACCATCCAAAAATGTGGTGGGTGGCCATCTGTCAGGGATGCTCTGGACTACTGCAGTCCCACAGAACTATAACGCAAGCCACTTACATAACTTTAAATTTCCAAGTGACATGTTTTTAAAAGTACAAGAACAATTTCATAACCTTATTTAGCTTAATATATTCAAATATTACCATGTCAATTTCAAGTGCTAAATAGCCACCTGTGGCTAGCTAATAGTTACTATTAATATATTGGGCTGTGCCCCCTCTAGAGTGTTAGCAAGTTGGACTGGAAATCTCTAAGGTTCTGTCAAACTATTTTATTATTTTCCTGGTTAAAGAATGTTAGCTTGGCGGTTTTAAGCACGCTATACAGATAGTGAGTATACTAGCATGAAGAACAGAGCTGCCGTGAGAGGTTTACGAGGGCCACTCAACAAAGAGATCTAAGAATATCGGGGGCATCTTGAAACTATATCAGAAAAAAGCTATTTTACATTTAGGAAATGATACCCTACAAACATGAGTGTATGAGTAGGGTGTTGCCCAAAGGAAAGGGTAACGGGGATCCCCCTCAGCCCCATTTGGCTGAGTGGTTTCTAGTGTGTTTGGGCTGAGTGCCCTCCCAGGGCGTGTGGTGTGTACAGCTGAGGAGGTTAGTGTTTGCAGTACACGCTTTATACAGCACACAGTTCCGACTCCAAACAGACGTGGTGACAACACTGCAGTCTACAGGTGTCAGAGGCGGTGTGAGACACACACACACAAATCACGGCCACGCCTCAGGATGTGGAGCAGGGGCCCCAAGGGATGGGCAGAAGTACACAGTGGTGAGCGTGTAGCACAGGCTGACACCAGTACTGACAATGAGATGAACACATATCCAAAAAGTCCTGGCACTACGGCTCAGCCCTGGGGAACCCGCAGAAAGGATGATGTAATAAAGTCTCCCTGTGAAAGAAAGAACATATTATTGAGATTTGCTTTTTTTCCCCACAAGACACATCACCAGGCAGGCAAGCTATAAAATGCTGAGAGGCCCTTCTAAGAATCAAACTGTCAGTACCAATTAGGGCCTAGGCCTCAGGGCTAAGTTTCTTAGAGGGGAAGGCAAGGAATTCCCACCTATTCAACCAAGAACACGCTCAACCAAGAATATCCTCAGCCAATCACTCATGCAATGGGGGTGTCCAGCCAGGCTGTCCAAACAACATAACCATGTACAATTCTCTGTCTCTCCATTCACAGGAGACAGAACTGGGAAATAGTTGCCCGGTTGTCTGAGCTATGGGTGTGCTATTCATTCCATCATATACCCATTCCACCCACAGCATCTATTCAGGATAGCTCTGGGGTGCACAGCAGCAGCAGAGAGCAGCAGAGAGGGGTCAGGAGAGAAACAGAGGGGAGAGGAGACCCATAGATACATCACAAAGTGATGTGAACCTCACTATCTATATGGACTTCTGCAAAGGCTGGGTTTTGTCTGTTCAGTCCAATCAATGAATGCTTGGGGGAAACCTGAGCTAGTGGCTCCTGACCAGGAATAATTGTAAAGTTGATTACCTTCAATCTGTCCTCTCTTCTGTGAGCTCAAAAGATCTCTCCAGAACCTTACTATTTATGTTAATAAAAAAATCATTGTTTGCTTAGGAAAATGGCTTTCAAGACCTGGTAGGATGCATTTGACCTTGTAGAATTATAATCAAAAGGGCCAATGTGTCTGAACCCACAAAGCAGAGGGAGAAGAGTCTTCAGTACCTCCTGGCAGACACACTGCCACTGAGTCCTAGAGGAGGCATCACCGGGGTTGGCATGGAGCACTCTGTGTCCCCGCAAGTGGAACCTGGCTGCACTAATTCACTCGTTCTGATATGAATCTTCTTAAAGCTCCCCACTGAAGGCAAGATTTGATATGTAGCTTTTCCTTTAACATTTGATGCTCAGGGATATAGACTATGCGGACTTGGTCTGCAGCAATTTAAGTTCTGCAGCAGGGAGGGGGCCTCTGGCTCTATAAACCTGCAGAGGGAGCATCGTCAGAGCACATGAGAAGTTGGGCCATGAAAGTTTTGAAGGCAGGAAACTCCCAGAGTGGCTAGACTACCAGAAAGGATTTTCCTGATCATGGCTATGAAATAAAAATTTGAAAATGAGAATGGGCAGGATCAGAAAACCAAAGAGTTATTTTTGAGGTCACAGAATATGTTCATTCACCAGAGACTGCTGCTCCTGGAACTGTCCATCATCGGTTGGGTCCATGCAAGCCAACTGGAAAATTTCCTGAGGGGAGAGTGGACTCATCGAAGGGTATCCACTCCGGCCACTCCTGAAAGGCAATGTCAAATTCAGAGGTAATGGGAGATGGAAAGAAGGTAACACCTCCCACCCCAGACAGGACCTCCTTCCCAGCAAGGCAATGCCTGTTAGCCATGGCTTGCATGTAAGCCTAGTAACATACAGGTGGCTAGCCCTGAAATAGAAAATTAAAAAGAAAAGCATTGGAAAAGAGAGAAACTGGTGTTTTCAACCTGCATTTGGAACCATTCATCATTCTGCTGGCGACTAGCATATCTGTGACAAATGACATCATTTGTCACACTCAGCCATATGGAAGACCCATGCTAGATTGTAAACCTGTTTCTGCTCAGTTTCCCCATTCAGCGGAAAAATGCCATAGTTTAAACAGTGAACAGTTTGTTTAAATATTAAGCAGCCACCGTCTCTTAAAAATTTCCCCACTTTCAGCAAGAATATGGTCTTATTGTGCCAACATCCCTGGCCAAACAACCCAGTTCCATTCCATCACCATTTAATTTACTGAAGGACTACTCTGTACCATACACTGTGTCTGTTGGCTTAGGAACTGGTAGAATGATTTCAGAGGTGACAATGAGGATGTGAAAACCTCTGGATTTATGGCTATGCAAGAAGAGGCTAGAGCATGATGAGGGAAGAGGACATGGACAAAGTCTGCCTCTGAACGAAAGGAGAGCCAGCTTCATATTAGAATTTAGTACATTGGATTCTCCATTCTTGTGATGCTTTACTAAGAAGAATGTGTTCCACCTCTGTCCAGGTTAATACAAAAGATGTAAGGTCTCTACCTTTTTTGTGGCTGAATAGTATTCCATGGTGTATATATACCACAGCTTGTTAATCCATTCCTGGGTTGATGGGCATTTAGGTTGTTTCCATATCTTGGTGATTGTAAATTGAGCTGAGATAAATAGTTCAGTGAAAATGTCCTTATCTAATATACACCCACACAAGAGAAAAACTCAATTCAATTCAAGATGGGGAAAGGGGAAAGAGGAAGAGGGTAAGCATGGTGGAGAGGGGAGGAGATGGGGGAGAGAGAGGAGGAAAGAAGGGGAATGGTGTGCTCCTACTTAATGGATACAAAGTGGGGGAATATGGCACACCTCCTGGGGGTGGGACACAACTACAATAGGGACTATACATAAGAAATGCAAACATTGTAATCTAATTCTTTGTACCCTCAAATTAACCTGGAATGTTTTTTAAAAAAGGAGCACCAGTGCAGTAGGTATATCAGTAACCAGTGTTTGGTACTTCCACTTAGCCACTGGGATCCACTGGTGATTAGGAGAGACCAAGGCAGTAGAGCCTTTAAGAACTTGGCCCCTATTGCCATTCACTGCCATGAGTATGGTGCCAGCCACCATTTGACTTATTCAAGAGTGTAGAGTGGGCTTCTGAACTATGGAAAGAGGACTGAGGTCAGTGGCTGGGCAGCAGCTCTGGCAGAGGTGGGGCTGGGAAGGAGAGGTGGGACACACCCCCTTCTGTGTCAGGCTTCTGCCCTTTCCTAGTTGAGTCTATTGCTGATGACTACATCCAGTGCAAAACGTGAGGCATGAACAAGGCCTGCCGTAATAATCCATAGGTACAATCTTACTGAGGTTAGCATCTCAGGGAAAGATCTGAGTAGCAGAGAATTACCCAGACTGCCTCCTTGTTGCCAGTGAGGGTTGTTGCTGAGTTCCCATGATACTACAGAGTGATCTGGTATTTTAATGATGTTAATGTCAACCATCTTCCTCAGTGTGCCCTCTCCTGAAAATCACTGGCAGTAAGATGAGCTCTGCCAGTGTAAGAAGCGGTGTCCCTCTGTCCTGCAGAGAATGGACAATTGTAGAACCTTCAGTAGGTGAAGCAGATCCTCAGAATCACTGAACAACCGCACAGAGTGGAATAATATGAACCCAGAGTGATCTCCTACTTTCAAGACCTTGTCAGCCTTCTTAGTGTTTGGGGGATAAACCCTAGCATCCCAAATGCAGACACTCTCCCAGTCTGGTCCCTACCTCACCAGCCTCCTCTTGGATTACTTTCCCCTTGGCTCCCTGAATTCCAGACATACTGGCTTTTTAAAATCCATTGAATGGGCCAGATTCCTTCTTTCTACCTCATGACTTTATTTTTTATTTCAGATTAATATGAGGGTAGAAATGATTAGGTTACATTGTTTGTGTTGCTAAGGTAAAGTTTAAGTTATAGTTGAGCCCTTCACCCGGGGGGTGTGCTGTACACACTTACATTATACCCATTAGGTCAGAGCTAACCAACCCCTCTCCCTCCTCCCTTTTCTACCTTTTCCCTCTCTTCCTCCCCCCACTTGATTTTAATTTTGTTTTTCCCTCATGTGGGGGTGTAGTTGTTTATCTGTTGGTTTCATATTGAGTACATTGGATACTTGCTTTTCCATTCTTTTTTTTTTTTTATTTTCCATTCTTGTTATACTTTACTAAGAAGAATGTTCTTCAACTTCAGGTAAATATGAAAGATGTAAAATATCCATTTTTTTTAATGGTAGAATAGTAAGTATCCCATAGTATACATATATCACAGCTTATTAATCCATTCATGATTTGATGGGCACTTGGGTTGATTCCATGTCTTGGCAATTGTGAATTAAACATTCTAGTGCAAATGTCCTTATGGTAGAATGATATTTTTCTCCTGGGTAGATACCTAGTAATGAGATTGAGGGATCAAATGGAAGGTCTACTTTTAGCTCTTTGAGGATTCTCTATACTTCTTTCCATAGAGGCTGTATTAGTTTGCATTCCCACCAGCAGTGTAAAAGTGCTTCCTTTTCTCAACATCCACGCCAGCATCTGTAGCTTTGGGACTTTGTGATATGGGCTATTTTCACTGGGGGTTAGGTGATATCTCAGGATGGGTTTGATCTGCATTTCTCTGATGATTAGGGATGAGGAATATTGTTTCATGTGTTTATTGGCCATTCATCTGTCTTCTTCAGACGAGGTTCTGTTCATGTCGCCTGCCCACTTATAAATGGGATTGTTAGCTCTTTTCTTGTTGATTAGTTTGTGTTCTCTGTAGATTCTAGTTACCAGCTCTTTGTCAGATTCATAGCATGCAAATATCTTCTCTCATTCTGAAAATGAGAAGGTTTGTGCTTCTATGCAGAAGCTTTGTAGTTTGATCATGTCCCATTCATTTATTTTTGGTGTTGCTGCAATTGCCAACGGGTTTCTTCTTCATAAAATCTTTTCCCAGACCAATGTTAAAGAGTTTTTCCCACACTTTATGCTAGAATTTTTTTTTTTTTTTATCATTTTTTGGTCTTAAATTTAAGTCTTTTATCCTGTGAGAGTCAAGTTTTGTAAGTGGTGAGAACTGCAGGTCCAGTTCCAGTCTTCTACATGTGGCTAACCAGTTCTCCCAGCACCATTTATTAAATAGGGATCCTTTTCCCCAGTGTATGCTTTTGTTTGCTTTATTGAAGATCAGATGGTGATGCTGTCTGGGTTCATCTCTAGGTTCTCCATGTTATTCCATAGATCTGTTGTTCTAATTTTATGCCAGTACCATGCTGTTACAATCTCTGTAGACTTGCAGTAGTATAACCCAAAGTCTGGTAATGTGATGCCTCTAGATTTGTTTTTATTTCTTAGAAGTGCATTCTGCCTCAAGACTTTAAGAGAGGCTGTTCCCAGAGTATAGAATGCTTCTCTCCAACTCCCCTGGTCCCCTATAAACTCATTTTTAAAAATTCTTATCAAAAGTCACTTCCATGACTCACTCCATCTCTGATATCTCCTCTCACCCCATAAATGGTTAGATCTCTCTCTCACATGTACTCATATTGTAGGTTGCATTTTTTCTTTCTAACATTTAGCAGAACTATAATTAAATCATTGAAAATGATTTAGGTTTTCTTCTTCCCAATAATTCTCTGCTTAATATCTGGTTTTCTACCACATGTAACTTCACTGAGGGAGGGGCCCTGTCATATTCACCACCACAGCCCCAGAGCAATGCCTCCTTGGACAATGCACAACTCTAGAAACATAGGTGGTTCTGAGGAACCAGTCTCCTGTTTCACCAGGACCCCCATTTCAGAAAATGTGCCATCATTCACCCAAATGCTCAAACCAGAAACCCAAGGATCATCTTTGATTCTTCCTCTCCTTCCCTCCATGTAGTAAATCAATCACTTTATCTCCTTATTTCTACCCTGGTTGTCCAAGCCACCATCACTGATCATTTACCTAACTGCAGTGATTGACTCAGTGGTGTTCCTACCTCCAGAATGCCCCCCTCTAATCCATTAAGTTTACAATGAATTCGAGAATAGCTTTTGAAAAGCACAAATCTGATAACATCATTCTGATGCATTAAAACTCCATTATATAAGACAAAATCTAACTTCTTCATCCTGCTTATAATTCTCCCAAGTCTGGGCCCCTACATATCTCTCTAAACCCATGATTTGCCACTCCTCTGAGCTCTCTATGTTCCACTACATCCTGGCAGTTTTCAGGTTTCTTAAACTTACCATACTCTCACTCTGTTGAAGAGCTTGTGCTCAAGTCTCACTTAAATGTTACTTCTTCAGGGAGGCCTCTCCAGACTCTCAAAGTGAGGGAACTTCTTCCTGTATATGGCACCACAGGAGCCTTCCCTTTCATATTTGAGCCTATATTGCTCTTTATAGATCTGTCTACATGGAGACTATGATTATAGTCTATTTTAGTCTATTACTGTCTACATGGAGACTATGATTATAGTCTATAGTCTATTTCCCCAATTCTTGAACCAAATTGGCTCTTAATAAATTTTAGTATATATATGAGTAAATGAATTAATAAAGATATGGCAGAGAAGTCAGAGTGATCCTATGGTGGGAATTAGTTTGTATAGAAAACTGTTGTGGATATAATAGATTTAGACTAGGGGTAGGGGCCTTCAATTTCTAAGCCAAGGACCCAACCCATGAATCCTTTTGATGGAGAGGTCTTACCTCTCCATCATACCTCCTTCTCTCCTTCTTGCACAGACAAAAAAAGTAAACATTTGCTTGTATTCTGTGGCCAAGAGAATCAACATCCTGCTTCCTCATCACATCAAATTATTTGTGAAAATGACCAGTGGCCTTGGACATGGCTCTGGTCCTTTTCATCTCTTCCAAATCTGTTGGAATGTTACCTAGTTGCTTTTCAAAAACAGATCTCCAACACCACAGGCAGAAAAAAATTAATGGTGTGAGCAATTCCAAATGGCCTCTAACAAAGGTCTCGTTCCCAACCCCGGGGTACCACTCCCTGGATAATTAAGTCATGCTACTTAGTGATTCTTGGTTCTATAAAAACTAAGACTATGATAAGTCCCACCACAAAAACCCATTTATATCAAGCAGAGGGACTCAGGTTCTTTGGGTACTCAAAGCATGCTTGCTGAAGAGATACAGATAATGTTGCAATGAGATATGCATGCTACAATAGATTATCTATGCCTAGTGACTAAACTGGGGCTAAGGCTTATAACTCAGAAGAATTGGAAAATTCCTTAGTTAGGATTTTATTTTCACTTTGACTATAGAACATGAAAAAAAAAAGTTTTTTTCTGATCTATGGTTCTTTTTGTTCACTAAAGATAACACGATGTTGTGAAAAGACTCTGGGGTCAGTTCCATGTCCTGTCAGTCATATGGCCTTTGAGTAACTTATTTAACTCCCTTGGTCTCCAGTCTCTTCATTTGTAAAGTAGTGACATTAATATACACCTTCAGGGGATAGAGGGCTACCATAGTGAGAATCGAATGAGAGCATATAAATCATGACTCTAGAAGTGTCAATCTCAAGGAAAGAAGTAACTAAGGGTGTTTTTATGGCACACATTGGGAAAGTTGTATCTCTTAGCAGGACGCTAGAGCCACAGAGAGGTGATAACCAAGAATTAGACAGATGATTATTCTTCCCAACAAAACTTTAGTACATTAAAAAACAAGTCAAAATTGCCTCCTTCCAGTGTCATTCATAGTGATCACCATCTCTGAAGCTGGCCGCGACACAACACTTGTTTCATTTGATCTTAGCTCTGCTATAAAGTCATGTTGAGAGACTCAACTTCAGAAAAAAGATCATTCAGCTCACAGTATTATTTTCAGGCACTCCTGGGCAGTGAGCTCTGTCCATACAGGTGACAGAACACAAGCAACAGTGTCAGGGACACTGTGGTTCTACTCACAGGCCTGAAACGGAGTCCTGCTGGAGATAAGGCAGTGCTTTGGCATTAGCAATGATCTCCTGAGGCAGAGATGAAGGCTCCATGCGCTGGAACATGGGTGCATTTTTCTGCATACAAAGGGGGATGGTACATACAAAAAGGAATTCCAATGACTTTGTGGAATCTACCGCAGAGAAAATACAATTCACATAGGTAACACAGGAACATGACTGATACCTTGTTTAACTACTTTAGCCTTTGGTCCACTGGGTTTCTAACCCCCTAGTTTCCAGTCCCACATCACTAGAAAGTTCCTGGGCCCTGCACTCCTCACCACTGCTTTTAGGCATGGGCAGGTACTATACTCAGGGATGCATAGGCCTGTCCCCTCACATGGTTCCCATGGCCCACTTGCCCAGTATGCTGTCAACCATCACCTGTTCCTCCAGCTGCTGCCTCTGCTTCTTCACCTTACTTTGTTTGTAGTAGTCCATGATCATCATTGCTGCATAGATTTTGCCCACAGTCAGGTCAGAGGCTAAAAACACAAAACGTGGCATGGTGGTGAACAAGAAGACAGCTGGGAAGCAATGAGGACACCCCCATGTTTTGTTACCGCCCTCTGGAACAGTTTGTGCCTTTAGTCATCCATTCACCCAACATTTATTGTGTACCAGCCTCTGAGGATACAGCGAAAGGGTCATGCATTGTCAGGGGACTTGCACCCCCCCAAGATGGTGATGATACTGAGAATACACAACACATTGGTGAGCATCACCTACAACTCTCAGTCTCTACATCTAACGGACAACATTCTCCCACCCCTCCACTGCATGAGGGTTTGCTGAGCAGTAGTAGTATGTGAAGGGATGGAACTTTGTACCAAAGAAGTTTCACCCACAACACAGTGACCTAGCTTAAGAAAATGTTCTCAATCAATAACAACAACAACAACAACAATAAATCTTAAGAAGTAGGAGATTTTAGTTTCCTAAGACTAAAAGAGCAACTTTCCCTTATCTTTTTGATTATTCTGGGTTCCCGCAAAAGAATGTGGCCCTGGCATGCTGTACCCCCAGGGGCAAGGACAGCCTGGAGAGACCCACACCTTTGGGCATGGGTACAAGCAGATCCAACATCTTCTGGGACAGGTGAGGCCAGATGGCCAGGGTCTCCTTCTGCAGCTCTGAGTCTAACTGCTGCCTGTCTGCACCGCCTACAATAAGATAAATTATAAATAAATAAATCAGAACGGACACAGGAACAACTAGGACTGAGGGAGCAGGTGGGGGTAGAGCTGAATCAGCACAGCATTGCATACTCTGAGAAGAAATCTTGGCACTTAGTGACAATGGATCTCGCAAACCTGGTCTTTCTGCTGAAGATGCAGAACACGTTTTGGCTCTGATTTTCAGTGACTCAGGGGTATCCTGCCAGAGTTATCTAAAACCCTGACACCAAGATTGACTTCTGATTCTAACAGACTCTCAGGTGCTCAAATGTATCAGAGAAGAAAACAAAAACAGCCATAAGAATGCTTCCCCTGCCTCATTATACATATGTGAATCCTGCTACTGGCCCTAAGTCCATACTGGGAGTGACCTGATGCTAATAAAGGATTTGGATCAGGTGAGAGCAGCGCTAAAAACCCATGTGGAAGTCGTAAACCTTTGCTCTCTTAAATCACTGAATCAGAAATCAAGATAAAGTACTGTATAGTCATGGCTTCTATAATAGCACCTGCTACAGAAGCATTCTAAGACTTTCATATGAGATTTTAAAAAGGGGACAAAATTAAAATTGTATGTTCAATAAACAAATATTTCCAGCACTGCCTACTATGTGCCAGACATTGAAGATAATAGACTGTTGAAGCTGGAAGGAGCCCCAGAAATGATCATTCATTTTATCAGGAGGAAATGGCAAATATCGAAGTTATTAAGTCACACAGGGGAAAGCAGAATGCTGATATTTGATGTTCAGGTCATTGCACTGTCCTGTCCTTAGCTGGATGGATATTCAAATATTAAAATCTCCATTTTGTACTACCCTGAGTGAGTTGTTCTAGAACATCTCCCTCCCAGCCCCCATCCTAATTACCTTTGGCAATTTTAATGTCCAGCGCTGTACGGATTAGAGCCATAAGTGTGGAGGTGAAGTGGACTGTCATGTCCTCAGCTACCGGCATATTCATCAAGACCAACCTCTGTGTGAAAGAGAAAAAGAAAACAGCAGGCAAAAAAAAAAAAAAAAAAAAAAATCAAAAGACACCTCAGTGAGAAGGGAAGAGAAGTGCAGAGGTCAAATGCACAGACAAAAAAGAAGGGCAAGGATTCCCCCTGTCCTTGTCCTACTCTCACTACTTCTCACTCAGGCTTATTCATTCCTGTTATTTTCTAGGGAATGATGCCAAATTCCAAGGGAAGGGGGTTCCCTAATTATTCTGTAGGATTCCCCCATGGGGAGTCCTAAGAATGTCTTTGACAGGGGTGGGAAGTGATTTCTGAAAGAAGTGGCTCAGGGAGAGGAGTTGCTCTGGGAGGTGGCTCCATACTGCCACCTGTCCCATGAATGCCCCCTGAAATTCAGATGGAAAGATAGCAAGGGGGAATTCTGCTTTGCTTATCTGACTTGAAAGATGCATCCTGGTGCCCCCTTTTTGAGTCTTTAAAAGATGAAATTTGCCAGCACATGATTGAACATGCATAAGTCCAACTTATCCAAAGGATGAGGTGGAGCAGGATGGATCAGGGAGGAGGGAGAATGCAAACAGGCTCTAGGGTAGGAAGATGAGCAGAGCGGAGGAGAGAGAACAAGAGAAGGGTGGCCCAGGCAGGAGCAGAGTGGGCAGGCCTTGTCCCCTCACCCAAAGGAAGGAATCACACTGAAATGGCCAAATCCACTTTCCAGAGAGTATCCTGCTTTTGGAGTTCTTTAACTTTTCCTCCAATCCCCATTTTCCCTTCTCCCACCAAGATTCGCCCCCGAAATTCAAAGAATCCAGGACCACATTCCAACACCTGGTCATTTGGGGTGTGGTCATCATAATCAAAAAGGATGCCATCCCCCACATGCACAAGGAGCCAAGTCCTGGGGGGTGGTGAGCGTCCCCAATGGCCATGTTCCAGTGAGATGCTTTCTGGAGCCATATGACTTGGAGGCAGCAGCAGGAGAAGGTCCTCTGGCAGAACCACCAGCCTGGCAGGGTCTCTAATGTTCCACTGGAGCATCTTGCCTAAAGCAATGCCACATAGTGTCTTAGAGTGGAAAGCCAGTCTCCTGTTTAGATTTGAGTACCATCTCTCTCCCACTTCTTTAAACTTCTTGAGAAGTGGCAACAAACATTACCATGATGTGTTCCTAAGTGAGTGAAAGTGCTCCAGACTTCTAGGTCAGTCTGAACATCGAAGGGGAATTAGTGGTCACTCTACTAATAGCTGGGGCAAAAATTCAGGCGCCAAAGTTATGAGCACCCTAATAGCAGGTGACTCCCAACACACCATGCTCTCTAAGCAAGCCATAGGGAATGCTTTCATAACTGCAGGGCCAGGCCCCATGTAGAACTCCATGCTGCCAGGAAGGCAAACCTAGTGCTGAATGCAACTTGATCCCATAATTGCTGTTTCTCTTGAGTATTTCCAAGAGAACTGGGTAGCCAGGCTAATGGGAGAATGAAGGTGCATTCCTTCAATCTATCATGGGAGAGAAGACGTCTTCTTTTTTTCTTATACCTAGAAGGAACCTATATCATGGAGGAAGAAATCTGTTCAGAGGAATTTCTGCATTATTTCCTTAGTCTTATCTGATTGAAGATGTTTCTATTTTTGTTACAGTACTGGTAGCTGTTTTGGCTCCTTCTTGCCTGTATATGCCCTCCCATAGGCCACCACTCTGCTTCCTCTAAAAAGAAACATACCACTTGACACTGCCTTTCTAGTAACCCACTCACAAGAAGCCACACACTTACAGAAACAGAACAACACACAAAGGAACCCCTTGTGGGGTAATACGGCAAACCATTCCTCGCATCTTCTCGTGGCTTCACCCTTCCGGGAGCCCTTCCTGACTCCCAGTCTCGTTGTTTCTTCCGTCCTCAGCCCCTCCTCCACCTCCCCAGCCCGGCTTCCTCCCCAGGTCCAACTAGATCCCATTGCCTGTGGTGTCTAGCCCAGAACAAAGGAAGGGGTGGTCTACCTTATATGCCACTTTGGAGGGACATCTCTTGCCGAGGCCTAGCGGAGGTGACATGAGAGTCAGCATTTCATACATCTCAGTGTAATGGATGCGGCCACTGCTCATGGAGGGTGGTAAGTTGGGATGGGAGTGGGTTAGCGGGTGGGGGGAAAGCAGGAAAAAGGAGGAGGAAGTGGGGGAAGGATGCAGACAGGTAGGAGAGGAGAACAGGCATCCCCAGAGAGCAAAAACGAAACGAAATACAGAAAAACAAAACAAAATGGACAAACAGGAAAAGAATAGGAAACCTGTTAATCAAGGCAAATCGTACATGTGACTCCATCCTGGTGTGGATTTATATCACGCCCCACACAGACCCGGGAGCACCGGTGGCAACCTTTGGTCCCCCTGACTTCCCGTGTGCACTGTCATGGGGACTCGTTTTTCCCTCCTCGATGAGCATTATCCTGACTTCATGTCCACTTCATCCGTCCCCAACATAACACAGCTTAGTTTCAATTCCCAGGGCTGTGCGTGGGCGGTATAAACCGGATAGACGGTGCTCCAGCCGTGGGTCGGAGTGCCCGGCCTGGCTGTCAGGCTCTCCCTCCCCGACCCCACAGGAGGAACGTCGTGTATCCCCCCGAGGTGCGTGTGTGGCAGGAGGCCTGTTTCGCACTGCGAGTGGTGGGCTGTGGGTGCTGGTCAGAGTCGGCCCGTTGCTTCCACCTGGCTCTGTGGACAAGAGTGCTCTTTATGCCCCAGCATGCGCCAGGTCTGTGGCATGCTGGGGACAGAAGGAACAAAACCAGGGGGAGGAAGAGCATCTCGCATGCCATGCTGCCCTCCCCAGCTCTCCCACATGCGGCTGCAGGATTCACCAGGGTGGAGTTTAAAGAGTCTCAGCAGAGGTAGCTGTTCAGCCTCCTGAGTATGGAAACCCTGCATCACCAGCCCAGGCCAGCTCCGTCCCGTCCCCCAGGCCCGCATCCTGCCTGGGGAGTTCTGGGTGTCCCCTGGAGCCCACGCTTGCCTCCTCTAGCACCAGGAGAACGTTCCTTTTCTAGCAGGCTTGCCTCAGATGGGGGCTTAGCAGAGCTGCTGGAATACAGAGAGTTCCCAGTGTGTGGCAGAGTGGAAAAGGGAGGTCTATGTTCTCCTGAATGATATCCTTGGTTTAACCAATAAGTAACTTGGTGACTGTGACAGCCCCCTTAGCCATTCATAACATGTGGCAGGACCTCAAGGCAAGGGATTTGCTCAGGAACCCTTCTTTATCTGTGAGTCCTTCCCAGACACACCACCTAACCTAGTCCCCTTTTATCTACTCTCACCTCCTGCCCCAGCTCTCTACTGTTCCCCATTTCCTTTCTGTCCAGAGCTTTTACAGTCACTTCGGGCCAAACTATCAGTGGTGGGCAATGGTAGGGCTCACTGGAATCACTGCAGTACATCATATAGGGGATGATGATGCTGTCTTGCAAAAATGAGGCTTCAGTGAAGGGAAACCAGAACTGTTGCTAGGTTAAAAAGATCTCTGCCTCTGTAGTGAAGGAAGAGGTCCCTTCGGTTAAGTGCACAGACTAAGGTGGAATGGAGTGAGTGTGTGTGTGTGTGTGTGCGTGTGCATGAAGGAAAGTGAGACAGATCAAATTGGTCTTCATATTAAGTCCTTAACTCTTTTCTGCCTTCTCCCCCAAATACGCCCTTCTTCCTTATGTAACAGCTGCTGGTTCTGGAAAGGTCTGGACCTCTTTAAACTCAAAGGAAAGCAACATGAAGGTGCCCTCCTGTGGTGCAGTGGTGGTGGAGCAGAGGACAGAGCAGAGGGGTGAGGTGTTGTACCCCATGGCAGGTCGCGGCTGGGGGCTGGGGGGCAAACCTTGCAAGCCACCCTGTAGGGGCAGTTCTCTCCCAGGCCCAGAGGCGGCGAGATCACCCGCACTAATTTGTACATATCCTTATACGGGATCCTGCCGCTGTAAAGGAAGCACAGGTGGGTTAATAGGACACTCAGAGAAGGGGGGAAAGAAATGATAGATTAGCCACGAAGGGGATGGCTGGATGAGGTTAAGAGCAGCTTCTTTCCTTAGGCCAGGAGAGACCAAGAACAGTGAGCACCAGAGAACCATCAGCTGGCCAGATGGCACTGTCCCGATTTTCTAAGGAAATAAGAGCCCATCCACTGCCAAAAGGAACTGCCTATGACCAAGAGCACCCAGGATACCTGTCTGGCTCATATCTGGCCAGATGTAGTCACAGCCCCGGCTCTAGCTCAGCTTCTAAGAACAATGCCTGCCAATTCACAAATGACAATGACCACTGTCCAGGGCAGACGCCAGGCTGCCATGAAATGGGTTGCACAACTGTTTGCTTTTCACAGACACTGATTACACTCAGTTACTCACAGCTGTTTGTCAGGGGCAATAGGAAGTCAGTGGCTTTTTGTAGACTGCAAGAGACAAATTTCCCATTAGGCTAATTAGCAAGGAGCACAGTGGCATGAGGGAGTTCGCAGAGGGCTTTGCTTCTCTTTGTAACAGCTTTTTCTCAAGTTCAGCTTGGGTGAGTCTTCTCTACTCAGTGGGAGCCTATTGGGATCTGTATTCAGAGAAAGCTGGGGACATTCTCCTCTGGGAACATTCTCCTCCAGGCCCCTGCTGCCTAGTCCACGGCAGCGTGGTTGGATTCAGCCCGAATTCCAGGCATGGTATGACCTATCTTACCAACCCCTTTCCCCAGGATCCTGCTGGAGAATTCTGGCCTTCTGTGGAAGGGACAGAATTAACAGTTGATTCATTTTCAATGGCTAAAGCATCTTCCTCATCAGGAACCAGTAAAAGGAAGCAATGGCCAGTGACCTGCAGGTCTGGGTACACTGGGGCGCAGACTAGGGCTTCCACTGGAAATTATAAGCATGGTATCTCCACCTCCAAGCATTCAGTCCTTGCTGGCAGCCACATCAAGATTAGGGTTTCATCCCAGCTTCACTCTTTCTAGCCTTTCTTAGATTTGAGAGTTGATTCTTCCTATTCTTCCAGACAACAGCTCATCAGTACCTCCAAGTCTCTCGACTCTTGAGAGGAGGTAACTTAGCCATTCAGTCTTTTATTTTGCCTCTTACTGAGTTTGGGAAGTAGGGGAGTTGGTAGTGGCTGCAGGCTGATGTTCTTTGCAGCCTGTATCAGTCCTCCTTTTGAAGACTTTGGCTCACTTTATATTTCTTAATCCCCCCCCCCATTATCGCATAGAAAAAGCCAACGAAACTAACTAGAATGAATCACACTGTGAATTTCAAAGCAGACAGAACAGATTCTACTTTGCCTTTTTGCTCTTTCCTAGTTCTCATATGTCTGAGTCTCAGGATTAGTCCTCATGGAATTGTTTCCTCCCAGCAGCTAGAATGAATGGGGAGGAGTCTGTTCTAATACACATGACATGAGGATCCCAAGATACCTGAAACCATAGGAAGTGGGGGTTCCTGTTAGCCAAGGACGCCTGAGAGAGGTTAGATGAGCAGTGAACTCCTTTGCTCACAGTTGGTTTCTCCTCTTTCTAGTCGGAAGTAAATCCCCTCCTAGGTTCCTAATCCCATGACCATCCGTGCTTTACAGATGCTGACTTTCCATATATTCCACGCTGCATTTCCATATGGCCATTGTCAATTGCAATAATAGTTACATACATGATTAATATTGTCCTCACAACCACCCTTCAAGGTAGATGGATATCATTATCACCAATTTAAAGCTGAGGAAGCTCAGAGTGGTTAAGTGACTTGTCTACAGCCATGGAGCTGATAAGATGCGAGCCTGGCTACATTTTCCTCTAACACATCACCCATTGCTTTCTAAGAACTGTCTACTAGAAAGTAAGCCCAGAAATGAAAAGCTGTTGCTCATTGTAAAAGCCACTATAATAGGAATGAATTTAGATTTGGGTAAGTCTCTGCCCTAAATCATTAATAATTACTGAGGGGAAGAGGAACTCTGATTCACTTTTCCAGCCCCTAAAACAGTGACCCAAGTTTAATAGCCAGATTGGAGGACAGATTTTGGTTATAGTTTCAGATTATCAAGGGATTCCAGGTGGAAGCAACATGGCCCAGTCCTGTGAAGGAGAACATTTCTTGTAGTATTTTCAGAGGGGGACCAGAATAGATAGGTTGGTGAATTAAGACCCAAAAGCTAAGATGACCTGGGACAAAAAAGTTCCTCTACAGTGAGCATTCACAGAATTCTCACCCTGTCCTCAACCATGAGGGCTAAAATGCTATCTTTGTACTCTGAAGCAAGAGTTAGCAAACTTTTTTGATAATAACATATTTCAGTAGTAAATATTTTTAAACTTGAGGGCCATACAGCCTCTGTCACAACCACTTAACCCTTCCTTATAGTGTGAAAGCAGCCAGAGACATTACAGGCATAAATGAATGCTTGTAGCTCTGTTCCAATAAAACTTTATTTGCAAAAACAGACAATGAGCAAAATTTAGCCTACAGGTTGTAGTTTGCCAACCCCTGCTCTAAGGCGCACAAGGCACACATCACTTCAGAACTATTGGACTGTGAAAGAGACAGTAAAGAGGTTATCTTTACCAATCCTGCCATTTAAATCAGTCCATGTATTGATAATAAAAACCCACAAGTGTTTAAGGGAACAGTTGGAAGAACAACTTGCTTGCTTTTTTAAAAAAAATGACTTCTGAGTTATATCCAACTATCTCTGTGGAGAGGGATGAGAGAGATAAAACACTAACAGTCACTGATCATGGAGGCCAGATGTCCAGCTGGCAAAAAAACACCTAATCAAATCCCCCTGGTAACCCAAAGGAGTTCAACTACCCATTGGCAGGAAAAGAAAAAGAAAGATTATTGGAAGTCTTCTTGCGGGTTAACCCAAACTATCTGGGATAAGAACTGGGTGATGAGATTTGGCAAAGGAAGGGGGAAAACCCTGTCACAGAAGGAAAGAGAGAGTGAAGATGAAGGTGTTTAGTGACTGGCTGCACACCAGAGTCTCTTCCACAGGCCACACCTAAGAGGAATCACCTTTCCTTTGGTAACAGGCAGGCATTTGGGTGGCTCCAATTCATTCCAACCTCTTTCCCTGTGAACTGCAGAGGCCCTTGCTTTGGGCCCTGCTAGGGTGGCCGAGAGGCCTACGCACCATGCGGCTCTGTCGTACTCTGCCCAGACGCGGACAAACTCATCCAAGTGGTGAGGGCCCAGGATGGAGGAGTCCCGCGTCAGGTACTCAAAGTTGTCCATGATGACGGCCACGAACAGGTTGAGCATCTGAAGGGCAAGGGGAAAACAGCAGTCAGGGAAAACCCAAAGCAGAGCTTAGGATGTGGAGAAGCAGCTTCAAGGTAAATGAAAAGATTCAAAAGTTTGTAAGGCGGAAGTTCCTAGTTAAAGGAGCGCTAATCTTGCTGAATGCAATTCATCCTCATCACTTGCACCCTCACGTTTCATTGTGTAAACACTATTAATTCACTTGTCAATGCCACTTCGTATTTGCAGAGTACAGTCACTTTTATGATCTATTCAATTTGTTTAATTGTTGCTGTGGTAGCAGCTATGACATTCTGGAGGGCTAGAGAAAGTCAAGGCTAGATGCCCACCTTCCCTCCCCAGCCTTCCCCCTCATCCTTGCTCCACAAAAGGAGCCCCAACAACAACTGGCAAGATGTCTTAGAACTGACAGTGTGGCTCACCATCTGAGCACTTGAACCTGTTTGTGACTCCTAAGTGGCTTCCAAGACCCGGCTCTCCCATGTATTTGCTCAGCCAAACTTTACTGTGTACCTACTATGTTCCAAACAAATGCAAGTGCTGGGGAGATGAGATGAGAAAGTTCTCATGTGGAGGCATCTTCCTGTGCCTGGCACAGGGCTTAAAGCACAATGGGGCTTCTCTGGATGTAGTTACTTAAATGCTCATAAAGACTTACTTACTATGGAGCAGAGACTGTGACATCTTGAAAACATACAAATTTTAGATTTTAAGAGCCATGAGAGAAGAATAAGCAGGTGAGGGTGGGGACAGAAAGGAATATGAAGGCAATTTCTCTTAGCTAAAGGAAAAATGATTAAGAGGGTTGATACTTAAGCTGAGTCCTGATAGAGCAGACACTATTCACCAGCAGACACAGATAAGCCCAGACACTGAGGTTTGCAGGGACAGGAGACATTCAGGGATCTGCAAGGAGGGCAGAGCAGGTGGTCCAAGTGCCAGATCCTAGAAGACTTCACAAACTATGAGCATCTAGACCAGGCTTGGTCAGAAAGTAAATACTGGAGGCTTTGCAGACTATATAAAGTCTCTTTTGCAAACTATTCGGTTCTGCTGCTGCAGTGCCAAAGCGGCCACTGACCGTACGTATACAACTGAGCGTGGCTGTGTTCCAAGAAAGCTTTGTTTACGAACACTGAAATTTAAATTCCATATCACTTCTACATGTCATGAAATATTCATCTATTGTTTTTTTTTTTTGCATTCATTTAAGAATGTGAAAACCATTGTTAGCTCGAGGGCCACAGAAAAATGGGTTGGCAGACCAGATTTGTCCCATGGGCTGTAGTTTGCCAACTTCTGGTCTAGACTACTTCACAGGCAACAGGAACCACTAAAGGTATTTCAAGAGGAGTGACAGCAGAGGATTTCTCTGCATTTAGGAAGAGCCCTCGGTAGCAGTGTGAAGGGTGGACAGGGACCAAGGGGAGGGTGCTGCAGTGCTCCTGAACTATGCCAGGGCCAGGCAGCAGCCCAGATGGGAGCAGACTGACTGATTTGCAACTGACAGGATGAGTACAGTCAACAGCATTGTTTTGTTGTTCCTTAGCTCCCCCACACTTGGCTACTGTCTCTGTCATGGGTTCTTGCTTATTCCCAGCTCATATGATCCTGGGACCCAGGCTTCAACCAGTCATTGAATCCCATTCCCTTGGGCTACTATGGTTGGATATCCATATCAAAGCTATATTGAACCTTTCGGGCAAAATACTTGCTTTTCTCTGTTTCTGGAATGTGTGAGGATATGAGGTCTGGAGCTGCTGCTACAGTCCAGGGTAGGGTATTTGAGTAAGCTCACATGGAGGAAAGAGGGTGGAGGGAGAGATCTACCCCAGTTGTAGGGTAGGGTATTTGAGAAAGCTCACATGGAGGAAGGAGGGTGGAGGGAGAGATCTAAAACAGGAAGACACTTGGTCTGGTGGTGTCATCTGAGCACTACATCAGCCTCCTGTAAACCTGCCCTGCTGCAGGACTCTTCCCTGACACAAGCCTTTAAAATTCCACTTTGCTCAGGCTGGATTTAGCTGGGCCTCTATCCCTTGCAAGTGAAACAGTCCTGCCTGCTAGGGACCAACTGGCTATGGCACTGGGAGAACAGGAGTCTGCTGTGGACTCCCAGGTCAAGTGGCCAGGTGCAGGAGGTGGCAGGTGTGTGCGCAGGACACGCGGGATCAGGGGAATGTCTGGAGGAAGGACATGGTTGGAGTCTCTCTGCAATACAGAGGCACCACTGGTCACATATAACAGCAAGTGTCCCTCCCTTCCTCTGTCCTCTGCCTAGAATATAAACAGAGGGCCGGAGATATCTTCTCTTACCACGGGGATGAGGGACATGCCCTAGAAGTGCAGAGAAGACCGCAGGTATGGGTCTGGGCCCTACCAATACTGCAGAGCCCCCATTAACAAGTCTGTCTTCCACCTTCCTCCAGGCTTTCCTGATGTGGAAGGTGGAAGGGAAATCAATATCCCTCCTCGTTAAGCAGCTGTTATTTGAAGATTTCTGTCTCACGCAGCTGAGCCTGACATGAGCCTTTCTCTCTGTCACTGAGATTGGAGCCACAGTGAATTTAATCCACCACTGCCTGGGTTATAAAGGGTTTTCCATGTATCTGCACATTTCTTTTACATGCCTCTCAGGGTACCAGTTACTATTGTTAACAAAAACTATAAGCAGTGTTACTGCTTTACACTGGCACCTGGTTTTAATAGTGTGGTGTGCACAGTCACACCCATTACTCCTCTTCACACCCACTCCAACTCTTTGTGAGCCAGGTCTAATTACCATCAGCTCTTCAAGAACAGAAGCCTTTTGAATCACATTCGAATCCTTAGCCCCCAGCACAATGCCTGGAACAACACAGGCCATCAGTATATCTCAGTAGTATGGATGGTTTCAGTGGAGAAGTTGAGTGACTGGCCCAAGGTCACAAAGTCAGTCTCCTATAGAGCTGAGATCTGAAAGCAGATCATCTCCTACTGAATATAACCTCATTAAAAATAACATTAATGTGAATTATGCAGCAACCTTCCATCTCAAACTTCTAAAAGTACCTTCATAGTCTCTAATTAATTTTCCAGTTATATCTTTCGTTTCTTTTAAATATTTATTATTAAACACTTAACCCATGTAAGAAAGAATGGAGCTGTCCACATACCCTTCTAGCCACTCCTTTTCACCCTCTCAGGAAGCTCTGGGCCCCTGAAAGCTGGTCTCACCCTTCATCTGTGGGTGACTGTGGAACTGGGCTTTGCTGACAGCCTTTTGATTGCTATTCAATAAAAAGGTGCTGAAGAGATAAATCACTGAACCTAAAACTCTAGTCCATATCATTCTAAATTTCCATTGAGTTAGTTACTTTCATTCGATTTCCATATATATAAATACGGTACTGATGTGTGTTCTTTTTTCATTCAAAACACCTTTCACATGAGAAGGAAGTGCATTAAAACACATGTATCACCTCACTGTGCATATAATGATATTATTAAGTCATTTTTCTCCCTCCCATTTTATAAACGCTATTAAGAGGGAAAGCAATTTGGTGAAGGCCAGCACAGGAACAAAGCCCAGACCACAGAGCCCAAGTCTCCGGTTTGCTCCCTCCTGCACCACTGACCTGCAGGCCACACTTAGCCTCTCAGCATCCCCCCTCCCACCCCGGAGAGCTGGGTGTGCGGCAAGTTGCAGTCCCCTTGGGATCCCTTTACAGAAGCAGAATTGCCTGGACATGAGATAATTAATTCACGTTTTGACCCATGGCCATGAACTTGACCACTTTTCAGCAGCATCACTGTTCTAGTTTCAGGTTCGTGTATAGCCAGTGGCATTAGGAACAGGCTAAGGAATATCAGAGACTGACAGCAGACCCACCCTTTTATCAACGTGGTAGCACCTCATACATTTATGGTTAGCACTGCTTTCTCCTGTGCAGGGTAGAAATGACTGGATGTGGGGGTGCTGATTCACACTTTCTCCAAAAGACAGCCCTAAGAAGGCACCTGGGGCTTTGTACCACGTAACTGCACATGCTCCACGTACATTATTCCTTATGTACTAGAACTCACCACAATCCCATCTTCTCATGTCCATCAAGCTAGTCACTTGTCATCCAATGTAATGATATCGCAAGTCAAGAGAGAACCACATCTATTATATTATCGCCATTCTACTCTCATTAACACTATCACCTTACATTTTCAAAGATCCTTTCCTCAAGCAGTTCAAAAATCTCCCAAAGAGAAGCAAGATATTCTTAGCCCTACTTGAGTAAAATACCTGAGGTATGAGAAAGAAAGGATTCATTCTGGGTTTCCACCGATTCACTGAGCTAGCCTCAACTCACCTGCCCACAACCACTTTTCCCTAGAAGCAGCAGAGACCTTTTTCAACCATTGAAAGTCACCCGCCCAGGAGTCTGACAAGCATCCTGGTCTCCAGGAGTTCTCTAGAGGAGCATCTAGTTTTTAACTTGGGCTGAAGAATGTGCATGTGAGAGAGAGAGAAAAGAAAAAAAAGAGATGGAAGAAGGGGCACGGGGGAGGGAAACGTGAGCATGCATTGAAGCCAACATCTCTGGTCTGTGTAGCAGAGGGGCTGGGGTAAGATGGGACGGGCCACACCGCAGGGCAGGAGCACAGTGTTCTCACCAAGAAGGAGCAGAAGAAGATGAAGGACACAAAGTAAACGTAGGCCAGGTCGGTGCCGCAGCGCTCATTCTCACTCTGTCCTGACGGCGCAGTGGTGTCGGGCTCACAGCCTTTCTCCCCAAGGCACGACAGCATGATCTCCTGCCAGGCCTCACCTGTGGCACTCCTGAGCCCAAAAGTCATCTCGGTTAGCAGGAGCAGGTCTACACATCCTATCACATCCTGGGTCCTCTTTCCCATGTGCCTGTCCTTTCTCTCACCCCGCTGGCCCCCACAGTGCTCTCCATCCAGAGATGGAGAGGGCCTGGTGCTGAGGTCTCACTCAGGGTCCCTGCTGCTGGTGATGGAGGCAGTGGTGGGACTTTTTAAGATTCTACATAAACCTGGCCACTCAGGGTTTCTGGCCCTACATGGAATTTGGTCTCCAAGAAGAGCCCTTGCTGTTCCCTTCCCCAAAGCCCTGGAGGACTTGCTGAAGTTGAAATTTGCAAATTAACTACTAAGCTGAAGATACTGATGAAACTTTCTCCCATCCAATGGTTAACCAGACCCAACCCTGCTTAGCTTCCAAGGTCGGATCGGGCATGTTCAGGGTGGTCTGACCACAGACAAGATGAAACTTTCTAATGTCACAGGGGCAGTTAGACAAAGGCACTGGACCTCCCGTCTCCTGCTGTGTACCCTGATAGAGAGACAAAGGAAAACGGGAGGAAGAGGCAGGCCAGCTCTCCCTTCCCCCCAGGATAGCTGCAGCAACAGGTGTGCATTCCAGTACCTGAAGAGAAGCATCAGGGACCCAAAGAAACTCCGGAAGTTGTTGTGCCGGTTGATGTGACTTTCCTCATCTAATTTTATATTTCCAAATACCTTGAGGAGAAAAACAACAGAAAAGAAGGAGCATTACTGAGTTGTATGATCTGTCCAGAACATGAGGGTTAACAAAGCCACACGGCCGGCTTTTCTGACAGCCTGTCCCTGAAGCAGACGACTCCCACGCCAAGAGCTGATGGACACCATGCTCGTGGCCTGTATATGGTTATTCTCCACCACCCAGCGCAGCGCAGCCAAGGGGACCAGCTGCAAAGCCTGAGCACAACACGGAATGCAAGATCTTTGGAAGTTACTCTGCTTACACACAGATCCTCCCACTCCTAATGTATGGTCCCTTTATTTCCATGGTACTTGTCACCATGGTACTCCAGAACTCTGTCAAAGACAGAATCCCACAGCCAGAGTTCAGGGAAGCAGTCACCCTCTCTCTGCCAGTCTCAGGTAGTTGTGACAGCAACATCTGAATTTGCAGAAGACATCATTTACGCCTTGGGCAGGGGCTGCCCTGGAATTTACAAGCAGTTTAGGTCAGAGAAGGGCATCTCTATCTTCCTTAGATATGTCTCCATCCAGAGAGTCTAATCGCAGAAGCTCTGTATGTCACTGGTCCAGAGTCAGTGAGAACGAACACACACACACACACACACATGCACACACACACGCACACATACGTCACCCGACAGACATGGATTGTTTTTGCAGTGGCTAAAACAAAGTCCAGGAGAGTCAGAACCCTGTAGACTAGAAAAGGGAAAATGACTTTTGCACTTCAACAGAGTGGGTTTACTCATCGGCTGCTGGCCACTGGGCGCAGAATGTGGTCCCTGCAAATTCATGTGAAAAAGTAGGAACACTTGAAGGTCTTTATGCACAGACAGTGAATACAGATGAACTCCCAGCCAGCGCTGCCTGGAGCCAGGGCCAACTCAAGTCTCTTCAGATGAGAAGAGCGCTCTCAAATATGCAGCTCCCTTCCCCAGCCACGTTTCAGACATCAGAATCTTTTCTCTGAAGTCAATGTTTGTACAACTGAGGGCTTACTGGGTCACTTTACCAGCCACTGGAGACAATGTTCAGCCTACATTTAACACGCTGCAGTTTATCCAGTCTATGCTAAATGGACCGCGTTTTCCCCCTAACAGTTTTATAATGTGCAATTGAGGAACAATCTCTGCCCCCAGCTATTTTGCTCAAGTAACTCCCACTGACACCTGCTTTGAGAATTTGTTCTCAATGCTGTTTTTCAAAACCCAAATACTACTTGTCTCCCAGGGAGAATGGAGGTGGCAAGCTAGGCAGCAGCGGGGAAGAAGGGGAAGAGGAGGATAAGAAGGTAGAGGGCCTCCCCAAAGGCAAACAGTAGCCTTAAAAAATCCCACCCAAGCAGTCAAATCTAATTAGCTCTGGATTCACCAGGAGGAGACTGTCATGTACCCCTGTCCTGTCACTTCCCCTTCTCTCTCCTTTCTTTTTGGCTGCTTGCTTCAAAATCCATGATTTATTTCTGATTCATCACATATACCCAACTTACCGTATTTTTCCTCTCCTCCTAACACGCCTGACGCCATCATTAAGTGTCCTTGTGATTTTCTGAAGCACCTCACCCCATCATGAACTCATGGAGAACACACTGAGATGTGGCACAAGTTACGTGTGTCAAAGAAAGGAAAGCTATTTTGAACCTAAGATAATTTCAAGTCAAAAATGTCTATTTATTATGAAAGCGCTGTTTAAAATTTCTTTTTCACTTTTTAATTTATTCAATTTTTCACTTAGTCCTTGTTACCAACCCAAATCTACATCAAAAGTGTATGGCCAGGTGTGGTGGTGCACACCTGTAATCATAGCACTCTGGGAAGCTGAGGCAGGAGGATCACTTGAGGCCAGGAGTTCAAGACCAGCCTGAGCATGAGCAAAACCTTGTCTCTATAAAAAATAGAAAAGTTAGCCAGGCGTGGTAGCATGTGCTATAGTCCCAGATACCTGGGAGGCTGAGGCAGGAGTATCACTTGAGCCTGGGAGTTTGAGGTTGGTGTGAGCTGTGATGAGGCCACTGCACTCTAGCCAGGATGACAGAGGAAATCCTGTCTCAAAAAGATTCAGAGGTATGGAAGAGAAAGCGGGGATGCTGAGACCCATTAGAACATTTCACAAGAGTATGGGCTTGACTCCATTCCCAGTTGGAATCTTAGAGCTAGAACTAGAAGGGACCCATGAAGGTCTCTAGACAGCACCTCTACTGTACTGGTGATGGAATTAAGGCCCAGAGAGGCTCAGCGACTTGACCAAGTTGGCACAGCTGGTCAGTACCAGAGCTGAGACTGAAAACCCCACTTCCTAATGACCTGTGGTCACAGGGCTCTTTGCACCCCCAGCAATTACTCCTTCCTTCCAGCGTTAGCCTCTTCGGCAGAGGTCTCTTCTTCTAGGAAGCCTTTGAAAATTCAGAATAATAACTGTTCTTCTCATAGAGACATCCTGTTGTTATTGATATTTTTCCAAAAGCGTGTCCACTGCCCTTTTGTCTTGCTGTGTGAATGGGTCCCTCTGTTTTGTCATGACTATATTAGAAGCTGCAAAAAGCTCAGGGGTCTGCTCTGTGCATGGTACTGGGTCTCTGTCACAGGCCAGGGTAGGGATGGCCAGCTCAAGGCAAGTCGCAAGGGAGATGCTATTCACATCTCTATGGAATGGAAACAGCTCTCTTACTTTTGGGAAGAAGTCTAAGATATTAGACATTATAGTTACCATGAAGAACACAATCTCAGCACTGAACAGCTCCCGTCTCCCACTAAAGCAGTGGTTTTCAACCTTCCTAATGTCGTGACCCTTTGATACAGTTCCTCAAGTTGCGGTGACCCCCAACCATAAAATTATTTTTGTTGCTACCTCATAACTGTAATTTTGCTACTGTTATGAATCGTAATGTAAATATCTGATATGCAGGATGGTCTTAGGTGACCCCCTGTGAAAGGGTCATTTGACTCCCAAAGGGGTCGAGACCCACAGGTTGAGAACCACTGCACTAAAGGGTCACAGAAATACTTGTGTGAGTTTGTCTGGAGGGATGAGTAACAATATGGAGTTAAACGCAAGGGCTGTGGAGCGAATACAGCTCAGCTCTTCCACTCACCATCTGAAAACTAGAGCACTAAGTTTCTCCACTATGCTATATATATACATCCTAGGAGACAATGGACTCTTCTATAAACATTTTCATATCACTCCTGAGGACAATAATCTACATCTTGCTCTTTCTCCCTCTGTTTCTCTCTCCCTCCCCACTTAGTACAGTGTCTATCACACCCAGGAATTCAAGTAATGGTAAATGGCGTTATTGTTATTACTAGTGTCTGTAGATTTAATAGTAGTTTATTACCAGAGATGGTGTTAACTAATTTATTTTGCTTAAAGATGAAAAGGAGTAAGAACTATTTGAAGTATGGCCAAAAAACTTAAATATAACTAGGAAAGAAAAATTGTAATGTTACGACACAAAAGATAAATGTTTGAGGTGACAGGTAGGTACCCCAATTACTCTGATTTGATCATTATGCCTTGTATGCAGGCATCAAAATATCCCATGTACCCCCACAATATGTACAACTATTAGATATCAACAAAGAATACATACATTTTTAAAAAGAGCTTAATTTAATTAAGTTTTCATTTGTCTCTCTAAGGATATTTGAATCCTAGAATCAAATACTTGGGAGTTAGATAGGAGTGAAAAGGAGTCATCATGCCAGTCTGAAACTTTGGCCAGAATTCCATGTCCCACGTGGCCGACATCATCATTAAATCCCTACCAAGATATCCTCAGTGAAGAAGACTCGCTGCTTCTCAACCAAGTCTCACACATTTTGATGCCTGACATTCTATTGTATTTTTAGAGAACAAAACTTTCCAAGGATGGAGTCAGAGAAAGAATGAAACTGAGATGTACAAGCAAGAGAGAAAAACAAAAATCAGAGATGCTTCAGAGATGCTCTTGAAAGGGCTGCAGAGGACAGTGGGCCTGGGACACTGGCGCAGAGGCTCCAGGTGGGGAGGGCAGTGGTTGCCCAAAGGCAGCCAGACTGCCTGATGACATGAGACTGTCACAGTGCTGAAGTTCTTTGCTGGGGTCTAGTCACAGCATCTCCCAGGGAGAAGGTCAGCCCTCCTGAGCCAGGCAGGAAGCCTATGTGTGTGGTGGGAGAGGTTGGCACATGGGCTGTGCTGCTGGTTATTTGTGACAGGAGATTACCTGCCACAGAAGCCTGTCATCTTTGAAAGGTCTTTTGGCCTCCTCTGTGTAGCAGCCTCTGGGTACCTGTCTAAATACCTGGGTTGGGAACCTGATTTATTTCCCAAGTTCTGAAACTGGTAAGGAGGCATGAAAGGAAACTTTCCAGCCACGTCTATGACCCTTTAAAAGAGGAAGTAGCTGGAACGTGGTCCTTGGGTCTCCCTAGGAAGGGGCAGGCTGTCAGCTACTCTCTGAGTTGTTCACAGTGGGGGGCCTTAGGGGACAAATCTTAACCCGTGCAGATGTATCTGGCTAAGTGTCACCACATACAGAAGGAACAACAATCTGACCTTCTTGTAGGTCAAGTCCTGAAACGTGAGATCCTGATAAATAGGTCATCTAGAGCCTCACTCCTTCCTAGTCCCCTGAGGGTCCTTCTGGCTAGGAACAATGGTGTCATCTTTGCTTCAGCTTTGTTGCTGTGTCCACAGAGGCCCAAGTACTTCCAAGTCAGCACCTTGATCTGACAACCTCAGAGGAAGCCCTGACTGCAGCACCAGACCTCCCTGCATACCCAGACAAGCTGAGTGGGGAGCTACTGCACATGTGAAATACCAACATCACACCGCAGCAAGGCCTTGGGAGAGCCCCCTGAGGCAAGAAAGGGTTCAAAGCATCTGCAAATCCCACATGTTCAGGTTGCTAAGTCAGAGACCCACCAGGCCCCTGATGTACCAGCTCACCTGCATCCCGATGATGGCATAAATGAAGAAAAGCATGGCAATCAAAAGGCAGACGTAGGGGAGGGCCTGGAAGGAAAGCAGAGATAAGACCATTAATCAAAGGCAGGCCTCTTCCAGGCTCAACAAGCTGCTGTCACTGGCAGTACAGGGACTCTTGCCCTGAGGCTAATGTAGACAGAGGATGGGACTCTCCATTCCCTGGGATGTTCTGTTTTGGGGTCAGATGTCTACATCCTGACTGATAATATAAACAGTTGTCCAAGGAGAGGCTTGTAATTTACCTTCTGTCTCACCCCGAAGAGTAGCCCAAATCTCCAAGGATAACTGGGAAAACTTCCCAGGCTTACAATTCATCCCACTCGACATGCAGACAATCAATAACCCGGGCAACTATGAGGCAAGTTACACACCGGCTTCTAGATCTGGCTTCCAAAGCCCTTCCTACTCCTGCTCTCAATGTGGAGCCCATAATGAAGAATTGGGTTGCAAACTGGAATGACCGGGGTCTCCCCTATTTGTCAGTCCCTAGAAGGCCCTTTCTTCTTCTAATGAAACATCACTTTCCAGGTTAAGCCTCCTGACATTTCATCATGTTTCATGCAAAAGCCTGATAAGTGTTAGCCACCAGAAAACCCTGCCACGACGCGGTGCACAGAATTCCATATTGTGCATGCCTGCTGCCACCTGGGAGGGTACTACTTCAATTGTGGGGATAGGGGACAAGGCAGGAAGATGGGAGGCGGGGAACTGCCCTTGGTGGCTGGGGAAGGATACAGAAGCAGGGCAATCTGGATTGGGGGCCAGGGTGGGCCACTCTAATTCCGGGGTACTGTCCCTGCTGACAGGGAAGTCCTTTTTATCATCCAGGAGGCTCCTTGGCAGTTGGAGTTACTAGAAGTCTCCATCCTGTCTTGAGTCTGCACATCATGAATCCTAGGAGATCAGCTGAAGGCTTTCAGACCTCATGAGCAGGACAGAGCTTATCAACAGAGTTAACGAAATGAAGAGCCCTGTGAGGCCATTTATAACTTGAACAGAGGATAAAATTAAAATGCAGCTGAAAGCTGGTGGGAGAATCCCCTCTCCAAAGAAGTGTTGATACCCAGGGTCTGGGAGGAGGAACTGCCTTTCACGGGGCAATGTGAAGGACGTGCTTCGGAGAAGTGCGAGGAAGGAAGTAGGATTTCTTGCACCTCCACCCATCTGCTCTTATTGTACCTTTTTAGAAAAATTTATTTATTTAAATTTTTTTTTTTTTGAGACAGTCTCAAGCTGTTGCCCTGGGTAGAGTGTCATGGTGTCATAACTCACAGTACTCCATCTCCTGGGCTCAAGTGATCCTCTTGCCTCAGTTTTTTTTTATTTTTAGTAGAGACAGGTTCTCACTTTTTGCTCAAACTTGTGAGCTCAAGCAGTGCACCCACCTCAGCCTCCCAGAGTGTTAAGATTACAGGTATGAGCACCGTGCCCAGAGATTATTTATGAATTTATTTTTTGAGACAGAATTTCACTCTGTTGCCCTGGATAGAGTGCTGTGGCATCATAGTTCACAGCAACCTCAAACTCTTAGACTTGAGTAATCCCCTTGCCTCATCTCCCAAGTAGCTGAGACTATAGGCGCCTGCCAGATGTCTGGCTAATTTTTTCTATTTTTAGTAGAGAGAGTGTCTCGGTCTTGCTCAGGCTAGTCTTGAACTTCTGAGCTCAGGCAATCCACTCGCCTTGGCCTCCAGAGTGCCAGGATTATAGGTGTGCGCCACTGTGTCCAGCCCTATTTTACCCTTCCCACTCCAAAGTCTCCAGCCCTTAGTTATCTCTCCCTATTCCCAACTTTAGGGAAAATACTAAAGATTCACTCTGTTTTCCTTTCTTGTCACATTATAACTCTTGACACAAAATAAGGGAAAAGAGGTAAGAACTGGTAGGGGTCAGAAGGAGAGAACTGGACGCTGCTCAGTGCGGGGTGGGGCGGGTACAGGGTATGGGGATGCCATTTCATCAAGTGGCTTTGCATCAGCAGTGGCAGCCTCTGCTGATCTGAATGTAAGAAAGCAGCTTCTGCACTGTGGCCCAGAACAGTTCTGAAAAGGAAACATCTATCTATCACGCGGTGTCACTTGGAGGCAGAGTCACCTGTCTCCGTGTTATCTGTAGTACTCGCTGGAGTAAGCCAACAATTTGGCCGTCAATTTTTGACATCCCTGTCTTCACTCTCAATAGTATAGAGTTTCACAGAGACTTGGTGATTGTGGTAATATGACAGGATGACATATTTCTTAAGAGGCTTACTAACAACTAGAGTTTGTTAGGAAGTCCTCTAAAAAAAAAAAAAAGGCTTAAAAGCATCTTGTTTTTCTGATTCTAAATCCAAATGCATCTGAGACCGAGAGAGGAAATTCCTGGGAAGGTTTTAGTTTTTTCCTCTGTCATCTAACTTAGGAAAAATAGTTTTCATTGAGGTAAGTCTTCTGTGGGAGTTACCATGGCAAACAATCACTGTGGATGTGATCAAAATGTCAAGGGTGCTCCTTAAACCTGGAACAGCCTTACAGTTGATCTCACATTCCAAACTCCAAGGTCCTTGATGAAGAAGTAAATGAATGATGATGATGTGGACAGAACTCCCCATTCCAAATGAGGAGTAAATGTGAACTCAGTGGCTTGCCTTCTTTAGTTTAATTTCTAATTAACATGCATAAACAGTTAAAATAAGATAGGCAATTTGGTGAATTTATGATTTTTCATCTTCAAATCACTTTCATCAAATTTATTGTTAATCACATTCATTGAAAAAAATTCTTTTATGATAGAGGCAAAGAATAGGCATTTAAACAACACTCAGGGCCTCCAAAGCTTAAAAGAAACAAATTTATGATATTTTCTAGAGTTTAAAGATATTTAAACATGTTTGGAAAACTTACTGGGAGTCTGCCACTAAAGTGGTATCTCAGACATTGATTTTTAACTTGTATTCATTATACATACACTCCTCTCTGCACTGCCCTGTGAGACTGTCCAACAGAAACTCACCATATTAACTTGCCGAGACGCTCCGATTTGTGTGTAGGACACGGAGGTGACCATTAGCATACCACACATTCAAATGGCTCAGGAAATATACAGTGGTGAAGACATGGGTGGGGCCAAGTATGAGTCACCTCACTATGATACATAACTCAAGGAGTCCTCTGAAAAACTGTCACGTGAAATAAAGTCACTGACAGTCCCTGAAAATGCAGAGGACATCTGACGGTTTTTTACATAAACAGGATTGCTCAGGACAACTTGGAATCGCTAAGGAGGCAGCACACCTGATCCAACTTGTCCCCGGTCTCGGCAAACAGAGAGGGTGCCTGAGATACAAAGTCGAGGTGTTTTTCTAGAATATGATCCTTTCTAGTAGACATAAGCTGATTGCTGTCAAGCCAAGCTGTGCTGGAACTAAAAACTGCTGTATTTATTGAATGCTTTAGCAAACACCCATCCTACTAGCTTCCTTTTCCTAGAGGTGAAGGGACTCATGTAACGATACTGGTGTGGCCCAGCTGTGCCATCTAACGTGATGACCCTCAGAGAGGACGTGCTGGGGCCTCTTACCTTAAAGGACTGCACGAAGGTCCAAAGTAAAATACGGATAGTGTAGCCCTGACGCAGAAGCTTTATGAGGCGGGCAGCTCGGAAGAGCTTCAGGAAGCTCATATTGAAGCCGCTGGTGTTCACCAGCTGGTGGGCAAAAGGAAACATATAATTAGTGACATTATGGTCATTTAGAAAGATCTAAGCACTGCTAGTATTTGCATATTTATCCCTCACTCACACAATAAAATTGGATACAGTCTCCTTGTTAACTCAACTCCAGCATATGGGCCGGCCAGTGAAGCCCATCTTCCTAAGCCTTCCCCGGCCTGTCCCTATGCTATGGTAGAAGAGTAAGTGATGTACCCCAGCATGTACCCTGCACGCACTGGATAACAACTGGCCTCCCTGGTCTTCTATCAAGTGGTCTGGAGTTTGCAAAAAGAGCTAATCTAGCAATCCCTCTTCTGATATCCAAATGGAATTACAATGAGCTCTACAAGTCTTCTTCAGGATGAACAAATTCAGGGAAACAATTCAGGTCTAAGAACTGTGAGGGCAAAGATAATGTTCCTCTTTTGAGAATGCAGCAGAGCGCTGTGCACACTAGCCCTTTTCTGACACCCTCTATGCCTCTTACCCCATTAGCTGTCTGGACTGGAGTCATGCAAATAAACAAAGCCCTCACGGGATCCAGCACCATTCCCACATCTGCATTCCCCGGCTAATGTCCGATAGGGAGGAAGGGAACTACTAGACCTAGACGGGTACACATTTGCCCTGTAGGTTAAAAGTGGCAGGAACGTACAGAGGGGCTTTAGTTTTGTTTTGTTAATGCTTAAAGGACAAGGATCTTATAAGCCACTCACCTTGCTGTCTGTCAGGATAATTTCTGTGATACTGCCAATCACAGTGATGAAGTCAAAGATGTTCCAGGTGTCTCGGAAATAGTTCTGCCAAACGAATTCAGTCAAGGAACGTAAGAGAAAGGACAAAAGAAGAAAAAAGACAGGATAAAAAGGAGAAAAGACATCTTTTATTGCATAATTTTGTCACTTGGAATTAAATCTTGTCAATTCATGCACAAGTTCACTCTAACTTTAGCTTCAGTTTCCTATTTCTAACCAGAAATGCTATTTCTCCCTTTACTAGTTTAAGAATTTCTCATTTGAATAGGCAGCTCCATCACTATTTGAAGACCTTATTTTTTTTGTCATTAAAAAGCTTATGTGGAAAGAAGAGGGTTTTTTTTAATATCTAGAGAATACTTATGTCTTTATTTTCAAACCAGTTTATTGAGGTATGATTAACAAATAAAAAGCGGTCCATATTTAATGTATATGTCTCAAGGCACTTGGGGAAATGTACATACTTGTGAAAACATCACCACCATCATACAACTGTAATTTTTAAAGTATCGATATTACAGGAGGAATCTTATAAAAACACAAGCTACTTTCAACTATCAAATGAAAGTCACATAAATCTGAAGTGACTAAAGCTTACAGATTCGCCAAAAATCTTCCCTCTAACTCCACTGAGCCTTTTCAAACCCCTTGCTGATTGGCAGGAAAATGAACAGACTTCCTCCTCCTCCTCTTCCTCTGCTCTGTTATACCTTCTAAGAGGAGGTAACTAAGTAAAATACAAGCAAGCAATAATAAAATGAGCGGCCACAGGAGATGGAGGAGATGGAAAGAACCTGGAAAATCTTCCAACCAGATAGCACTCCATTTAGGAAGAGAAAGTGGACTGTGACTCCATTTCCTAAGCTCAGGTGAACACAGACCTTGGAACAAAATGAAACAAAACAAAAGAACCCAAACCCCCCAAAACGTAGACACTTGGAACTCCAAAAAAGTCATTTGCTTGCCTATAGGCAGCACTCCCATAAGAGGCTTTCAGAGCATTGCTGAAGTGTACCCCATCCAGCCTCACTGCTAGCATCACTGAATCCCTACTCTATGTGCCAGCACCCGCTCAGGCTCTTGGCCTTCTTTGAAGTCATTTATATCTCTCATGGATCTTCCAGGTAGGTAGTGATAAATATCCCACGTTCATAAAATCGAAGGGTTGCCAAGAGGAGTGGGGAAAGACATGAGATAAAGAGAGAAACAGAGGGTGAGGAAGTTACAGTTCATGAGCACCCACTCAGAATGAGGCCCCTGAGTGGACATACACAACAAAGGGTCTGAGGCCGTAGGCCACTATTTGTCATCCTCATTTAATATTTGAGAAAACTGAAGCTTAAAGAGAGGCCTGATTCCAAAGATGTGTGCACCTAGGGGGCATATAGAGAAACGGAAACACACAGCTTCATGGAGTCACTCTTCATGAGACTTAGTTCATCAGTGGGGGAGCCAACTTGAGTCTGAATTCCTCAATTCTCAGGGCTCTCCTGTTGCCTACCTTGGGGGTGAACTTCTTAATTCTTGGTTTTAATTCTTCCTAATTCTTGGTGCCTGGATCTAGGCCTTCGAGGACTAGAAGATCTGGATTCCATTTGAGGCTGCTTTTCAGCACAGAACAGCACAGCGTGGCAGAGACTAGCATGGTGGAGTGTGCGGTACCGAATAGCATAGTGTAGTATAGACTAAAAGATGATCGTGAGCTCTGAAGTCAGACCATGATCTTAATCCTGGCTCTACTTTTGACTAACCTTGGGCAAAGTATTTAATCTTTCTGAGCCTCAGCTCATCCATAAAACGAGGAAATAATAATGCCTAGCTAGTTGTTACGAAGATGAAATGAATATGTAAAGCATTTGGTACTTAATAGGCAACCGATGGATGTTACTTCTTTCCCTCTTTTTCCCTCCCTTTCTGTTACCACTCTGCTTTCTAATTCGGCTGCCTTCTATTTCATGATATTTAAAAAGCTATACAATTTTTCTGAACTTCAATTCCTTCATTTAAAATAATGATAATAATAATAATAATGGCAATAACGATAATGATCTCTGCCATGCCTATTTCAGAGTCATTGAGAAGATCTAACAAAATAGTATAAACTGGGGTATTCTGAAAGCCTAAAGAGCTATATCAATGTACAGACTTATTGGGATTAGTGGTGCCTTTTATGGTACAAAAGGCCTGTAGCCCTTGAATGAAAACATGAGGGTGAGGGTGGGAAGGAGGCAGACTTCAGGGCTGAATGCAGTTAAGCTTGTAAGTATGCTCTCAGCACTCTCCATAATTAGACACATAATTGGGGACTTAAGCCACAGACAATGTCAATACCACATGCAAGTAATCAAGATGCATAGAAAAACTTTCCCTGTTGTGGCCCTGGCTTTTCCTTTTTCAGTTCAACCTGCTCAGGGCTAGACTGTATTACAAAGGCATCTTTGTTGGAGGTAGTTTCTTTTTCCTTTTTTATTTAACCAAGGCTCAAAACACTCAAAAGGGAGTGAAGTAATCAACAACACAGCCAACTGCAATGGCTTCCCTTCACCTCTGCACCCCCAAACAACGCAATTAACGGTTTTCAAAGAACCATTAGGGGATGAAAAGCAGTCCCCATGATCAACACTCAGAATTATCAAATCTAGCCCAGAGTCCCTGTTAAAACTACTATCAGACAAATACTTACTTAGAGAATAAACAAAGTTTTTCTCCTTATAGGAAAAGCCACATGCACATATGATTTGAAATGGTAGCTCACACCCCAAATAGTTGTGAAACAGCTGACAAGTGGGCTTATCTGCATCCCACTGAACTCTCTGTACACACTGAAGGAAGGGGTGGGGGATGAACGAGGGGGTTATTTTGTTTATAGGACACTGAAGCAAAGGGCTAGGTTTTCTTAACACCCTGGAAAACAGATGCAAGAATATGCCAAACAATTATAATTAGTAGTTGAAGAGAAGGAAAAGGAGAGCTCATGCCAGAAAAATTCACCCCCAATCCTCCCCAAACTTAACTCTAGAATCTTTCCTCCAATTACACACACACACACATCCCCATGCCCACACTCCCCCCACCACACACACACATGTCCACACCCACACTCACACCCACACCCCCATTAAAGGTCATTGGCCTTTGTCAGTGTAAGTAAAAAGCATTTATTTTCATAGGCAGAAATTACTCTTCATGTTACTGACGGCAGAATGATTAGCAGGTAAAATTTATTATTTGGTACATTTGTGGTTAAGAGGGACAGACATTTCCCCATCTGGCTTATAAAACTCTATACCCTTTACCAGTAAATAAGCACTCAAAGTTTATGAGCCCAGGGCTTGTTTTGCTCCTTTCTCTACACTTAAGTCATAGTTTGAATGTAAGCCAATGATGCCACCCCTGAACTGCTGGACCAGGGCTGACGGCTAGATGAGTGTCAACTTGGGGATGTGGCTTCCTTTGCTTTTCTCCGAAGCCCCTCACCCAACATCTTGTGTGTACAGCAGTTTACTGAGCAGTCAAGATGAGCCCACATTTAGGTAGGCAGGTGTGTGAGCCATTTCTGGAACAGCTGTAACCACCACTCCCTTTTCCAGCAAAGGCTGGGAATGCGCCCAAAAGAAAGAGAAGACAAGCCTAGTACTGGGATAGATTCAGTGACATACCAAGAAGCCAAAAGCGATGACCTTTAGGACACACTCCAGGGAAAACACCATGGTGAAGGCGATATTCAGGTACTTTAGGGCCAGCTCGTAGGTGCAGGGAGCAGAGTAATACTGCCAGGGAGAAAAAAGAGGAGAGAAAGAGAATCAAAGCCTAAAGTCAGAGGGGGAATATGTGCCACTGAGACCGGCCAACTCTCACCCTGCCCTTGTGGGACACTCTGGTGCCTGGCACAGGAGAGAGATGGACACTGAGGGCCAGAAAGGAAAAGTATAAGCCCAATGCCACAGAACAAAGCAAAACACCAACCTGTGCTCCACCTCAATGGCTTAACAGTAAAACAGCCAGTCTTCCTAGAAATGAAGGTGGTCAGGACAGAAAGGCCTTCTAGAGTTAGTTACTCTACCCGTTGGTATTTAATACGATCAGGCCTCTCTTAACGCTCCACCAGTCCTTCAGACCCCAGCATGATCTCTATCTCTGGATACTGTCCCCCCTTCTGAAACTGACACCCTTTACCATCTTTGGGAAGCTCCTGGACTGCTACCATAGACCTCACTGCATTCTTCACCTTAAAGTCTCAGAGGTGAGGCTATTGAACAAAATAAGACCACAAAGAGAGTCCATGGTGGAAAAGTAGGGAACAAGCAGACAGACAGGAGGGCTGGAGCATTTTCCCAGTGTGTCAGTGAACATAGTTGCCTTGGGGAACGGTCACCAGGGCTCCACCAGCTTTTGTGCCTCCTTCTCTCACCTTCATCATCAGCACGACGGTGTTCAAGGCGATCATGGCCATGATGGTGTACTCGAAGGACGGGGACACCACAAAGTGCCACACACGGTACTGGAACGTGTGCCTGTTCTGTGGCATGTAGCGGGTGAGAGGTTTGGCGCTGATGGCGAAGTCGATGCATGCCCTCTGTGGGAAAATCATAGTCATTAGTCCAAGCTCAAATCCCCCAAACCTTGCACGGTGGTGGGATCTTTGTTAGATGGTTGAAAGAAGAGGATGGTCTATGAAAAAAAGGGCAGGGCTGAACAAGCAGAATTACAAATGGCAACAGAGATCATCTGGACAAAACTGCAGGAGAGATGTCACCTGAAAAGAGTACACAGAATGGGGGCAAACACGTAACAGTTTATAAATCCTTTACACAGCATGTGGCTGAGAAGTTTAGGCAGGAAGGCTTCCCTGATGCCTTTACTCAAAGTAAAGCTCTATGGGCTTGTGTATTCCTACAGCTTGTTACGTTGCATTTTCCTTGTAGTCCCTGAACAGTTTCTAGTTCAGTTGCATTATTAAAAAAAAATACAAATGAAAAATTAAAAAAAAAAAAGACTGTTGAAACTCACAACATGCCAGAACTATGCTCCTTGCTGGAAAAGCAGTGATAAAACATATCCTCTGTCCTGACAGCAAATACACACCATGGAGGGCCACGGTCGGGTAGGCAGCAGATGTCTTAATGTTATAATTATAGCACACATCTCTACCTTCTAGACGCTGCTTTAATGATACACACTGCATCATAAATACCTTACATATCTTCCAGATCTCTCCACCTTACACCTGGGCCTTAAACAGAGCAGTACTCAGAAAGTGTTTATTTAATGGCTGAATAATTAATTTCCCTCTCTTCTCTCTATAATCAAGCTAAGAAAATGCAGCCTGCCTTCCTAACACCGCTACTCAAAGGGGCCCTGCTGTCCCTTGCATCAGACCAATTTTGTTACCTCATTCTTCTCCAGACTGCACTCCTCCATCATCTTGTCCCCTTGCTCCTGGAAAGTGATGATGATGAGAGCCACAAAGATATTGACAAAGAAGAAAGGGAAGACCACAAAGTAGACCACGTAAAAGATGGACATCTCCATGCGGTTGCTGCGGCTTGGGCCTCGGTCTTCCTCTGTTACGTCTACGGAATGTTGCAGAACTCTGTGGGCACAGAATGGGAGGAGGAATATGAATGGTAGATGACAGTCTTGGCTCCATTAGGAGCTGTGACACCTATTATAGTTCTTTATCTGGCTTGGCTTTGCAAATGCTTTGTTAATTCTTTGGGTCCATAACCAAGTTGACATATCCCCTTGGTACCAATCCACTGCTCTTTCTAGCCCATGTTTCATTATACATTCAATTCAGAAGCAACAGAAGGACATCATTTTATTGTTTAGGTTATTATAGATAATACCAAGAGACTCCTAGATTCCTATTTGACATTTTGCTGCCAACTAAAGTACACTGTCTCCAAAAAGTGGTGTCATAGTCATTGTCAAGTCTCTGAAAAGTCAGCCTTTCATTTATGGGCAGCATGAGAACTTGCATTCTGCTGTCTTCTTCATAAGATGTGTGATCACAGGACATATCTCTGGGTTTTGCAAGTTCATCCTTAACACTCAATCCTCAGGCTTTCAGGTGCAGGGCCAAATGGAGGATAAATTTGTCTAAAGGAACCCCTCAGGGATTCTTTTGAGGGTTAGAGGGCTGTTCAAAACCCATTTATTCTATAGGGGCAAAGGGGGCACCACTCTACTCCTCCATAATTGGCTAAAACATTGAGAGTTTCAAATATTCCCCAGACTTTTGTCACCCCTTCTCCATTTTTGCCTTAAGGATTTTTATTCTTCTTCTCTTCTGCTTGTCTCACTTAGTCATCACAACTTACTTTCCTTAGTATGATAACAAAGGGTCAGCATGTTCATTTTGATTCAGCTTCTCAAGGCAACCACAGATCCCATTCCACTCACCAACAAGCATGCCATCTCAAACCCAGTACTCACTGAGGCCAGCCTTCCCCTGTAGAGACTGTGAAGAGGGTCAACAAGGCCCAGATGATGTTGTCATAGTGGAATTCATGGCGCTTCCATTCCCGGCCCTTCACCTCCATCTTGTTTTTCTCATGATCTACATAGTTGCCTCTAAAAACCGGATAGAAATACAAGAAAAGAAATAGAAAAGTCTTCACTATAGCTCATGGAAGAGTCAGAACATTCTACCAACTTCAGTAATGGGAGTAATAATGATCACCACACAAATGCAAGGAGAAAGGACTTTTACTAAAGGCAAATATTACCATGGAATAAAAATGGGATTTGGTACCCAGCAGATGTGGGATTAAATCGTAACCCTTTCATTAGTTGTTGTCATAATCTTGATCAACTTCAATTTTCTGTCTTAGCTTCTAGACATATATCATGCAAAGATAATCCACCTCAATAGGTTGTTAGAAGAATTTTAAATGAAAATTGAGTATAAAATGTCTTGTACCCTGTTACAAAAGAGGTGCTCAATAATGAAGTTGACTGAGGCCTTATTTTATCTTTCTGCAAAAGAGGAATGGAGATAGGTATGAGAGAAAGGAGGAAGGGAGGACCTATGGGTGGGGTGGGTTCGTCATCCCCTCAGCAAAAGTGAGTGAGTTGTGCTAGCAGTACTTACATGCACTCCTTCTCTGTGTCCTTCGAACTGTCTGTGCAATAAAAGAATTTTCCCTTGAAGAGTTGAACTGCGATGACAGCAAAGATGAACATGAAGAGCTTGTAGACAATAAGTATGTTGAAGACATTCTTCAAGGAAGTCACCACACAGTCAAAGACAGCCTGTGGACAGAGCAAAGAGCCACAGCATACGAATCCTGTGATGGCCACACTACCAGCACCCAGCCCCTCTGAGAAGGTGCCTGAAGAGGGAGTGTCTTCCTAAGAGCTGAGACTCATAGGATCAAGGGATGGCTTCCAAGTTGGTCATGATGGCAAAGACCTACCTGGCAAGGGAATACAGGCTCTGAATCTGAAAGTCAACCCAAAGCAGAGAAAACCAGATATCTAGCAACAAAGAGAGTTCCTTGTAGGATGGAAGGAACTCCATGACCTTCCATTTATTTGATGACATTCTTAGATTTGATTTTTAAATTATGAATTGTTTTCTTGTAACCTTTCTAAATGAATCAAAGACTGATCATATATTCTGATATCCCATAGCAAGTTCATAAATTGGCCCTGATTATGTTCAGCACATCATGTAAACATTAGTGGAGCTCTTTATATTTGGGATGAAGACCACAAGAGGGGATATGGGGAACCTGGATGGACAGAGCCAGAGATTCATTTACTTCAGGTAAAAGGTGACAAACCTCCAGAAACCTCCATCTTAGCCCCTATGCAGTGAGGCGTTATTTAGGGATTCAATATATTTCAAGCCATTTTTAGGTTCTTTTCTAGGTTTTTAGGTTTAGCTCACGACAGAGGCGAGCCCCATGGTGGTCCACATTTGTGCAGTTGCTTCTTTGCAGTGCTAGGTGAAGCATCGGTTTAATTAGTTCAACACTGTAAGGAATGTGAGTGACATGTAGCCTTGTGGAATCATCAGAGACACCTACATATCCTTAGGTTATGGAGCTGCACAGAGAGGAACCAGGGAACCGGTTCCTTCTAATTTAATGGACTTAACCAAGGCTGGGGTTGCCTTCTCTAGCTTGTTAGTTAATCTCATCAAGTCTGTCCATACTCTCTCTCCTTAGGACCCACTGGGTCTTGCATTGCAGCTGACAGCAGTGGTCAGGGCCTCAGGGGGCCAGCCAAATTCTGTGTGGTTCAGGCAGAGAGGAATGAATACGGGCCCTGGCCCAGACCAGGTGCTGTGCTGGGCCCATATCAAGTGGGAGGTGGTTAAGAGACAGCTATTGCTGTAGGAAGTGCCTTTTCAGGAGAGGAAGGCAGGGTGACCAGGAAGAAAAGCAATCGGCACGGCCACTTCCTTTGGAGCTATTTCCTTTGGGAGTCTATGCATGGGCTGGGGCCCTGGGCTCTGAAGGGAAGCCATGTTTCACCCAGCGCAGGGCCTTTCAGAGGGGACTTTCCTTCCATCCCCAGCCTTTCAGAAGCCTACTTTGCTTTGCCTCCTGCCTGCAGAGCGATAGGGCTAAAAGGATGCCTATGAGGACAGGAGGAGTTTGAGGTGGGCCAAGGCCTGACAGAGAGTGTCAAAGATTAGAGGACCAAACTGGAAATGGGAATTGGGAAGCTGGGAGGTGGGGAGTCAGGTTGCTTTCTCTTCTGCTACAGGCCTGGGAGAGCAGGCCGGGGCACTCCAGGGGAATTCTGGGTTTCTAACAGGGTCTACTCATGTCACTCATTTTGGCCACACCGGAAGTCTGAGTTATAAACTGTCTAGATTTTTCAGCTGAAAGAAAAAGTGATCTACTTTGGGCCACACAGCTCCTCAGTCTCAGATTGAGCCTGGCACTTGAGGAGGCTCTCTCCAATGCTGACCGCTCAGCACATAATTAGTTTGAGAACCCCTAAGAGTCACCTAGGGTATAGCTCTGGAAGGCACACACATCCAGGAAGTCTGTGCTGGAGAAGCCCAGGAACCAGGAGATTAAGAAGCACCTGCTGGTCGTGATGCAGGTGGCCTATGACCCACATTGTGAGAAGGGCCACACTAGTCCATACAGCCCTGCAGGTGGGTAATTGCATCTGTTTCAGGGAAGCACTCTGGGGTATTCCTGATCTTCTCCTGGGTAGTGGTTTCCCTTATCCATAGAAACTCAAGGAGCATGGCTTTTGCCCCAGTGGAGTCTCAGCTTCCACTAACAGCAATGCATATGGGTTCAGCAGGCTGGCAGAGTGGAGTGGAAAAGCACACCTCCAGAGGCAGCAAGGCTCACGAAGGTGGAGCCCCAGTAGTCTTGAGCAGGAAGAGGGCTGGAGAATGAAGAATCTGGGTAAGATACCTATTAAATCTCTTGTTCTGGCAATAGGAGGAATGTTAGCTCATTTCCCCATGTCTTCTCTGCTTCTGCCAAAAATGGACTGTGTGTCCTTGAATGAATTATTGACCCATCTGTGCCTCAAAAATATGAAAGGTTAGGGATAGGAGCTCCTCTCCTTCTAGAATTATGAGGAAAAAAACCCATCTGACCCAGCATGCAGACCACAGCACACATGCTGCTTCCGTTTTTGCTCTAGGGGCTCTGCTTTAATAACCCCAGAAGCTCCAGGACAAAGCTACAGAGGGTTCTGCCTGGATGCCATACCACCCACAGAGCAGAGGACACCACCTGGGTCTGGACTCAAGGGGCAAAGCCTCCTTACAGATGTCTTGGGATACTGGTATTTTCCTTTGACACTAAGACTCTTAGCTCAGGCAGAAGACAAGAACCTCAATAACCACATGAGAAAAGGAATATCACCAGAACAAATTCTCCCAAAGCAGGCCAACCATGGCTGAGAGAGAAGATGGGAAAAGGAGATTTGATGGGAACAAACTCCATCAACATTACCTTGAGCTTGGGCAGGCGCTTGATGGTTTTCAATGGCCTCAGGACTCGGAGCACCCGTAGGGACTTGATGGTCTTGATGTCTCGCCCCTTGTTGGTTCTGCAGGGGGAGAGTCCCCCCCGCCCCAAGGAATCATTTAGAGAAGGGGAGAAATAAAAGCGACATTTACACTATCGGATTTACAACAAGGCAAAAGGGGAGACATAGGTGAGAGTGAAGGAATTGGGTCCGAGTTGACTCCCCCAGGGATACTCCACAAAAAAATGCTTCAGGAATATTATCAAATTGCTCCCCAGTGTGCACTTCGGCACACACACCCATACACGCACACACACACATGCACAGAGGAACACACAGGAGCACACGCACACAGGGAATATAGTCCAGTGCTTTTCCAGTGGTAGGTTCTCAAAGGATGTTTGCTGAATGGAACAGGAAGCCACAGCTGAGACGAGTCTCATCAGGGCCTTGATTTGCCTAGGTCTGTCACCGCTGGGCAGGTGCGAGGCAAGGAAGGGTGGTGGGTCGGAGACCCTCGCTGGGCTGTCTGTTCCAGGGAGCATGTCATGCCAGCTTCTTGCCAGACCCTGGCTCCCACCCCAGTTATCTCCGTGTGGCTGGCTCCCCTGCTAGTTCAGACGCCGCAGCCAGCACAGGCTGCATAGATCGCTCAGCTGGAGGAGGCCTAAGATGCCATCCCTGCCCATCGTTATCCTGGCTCTGCAGCTAATGACCCTCCCTATCCAGCTCTTGGAAAGGTTTTTCTCCTAATAGAGAAAATGTATTTCTCTTTATAAGGAATGAAATGAATACATCAACACGCATATCTCTTTTCTCCCTGCTCATCCCCTGAGATCTCTGTGTTCAACGCAAGTAACTGCAAGTTACAAAACACAGAGATGGCAGAAAATGAGACTCTAAATAGTGAGGTCAGGCTCTGGGTCTTTCCTCATGCTGGCCCAGATTACTATCACACCAACAATCCTGGACATCAGGTGAAACAACAGGGCTTCTGCCTGCCCTGCCCACCTCCAGCCCATACACATCCATCTATTTCTTCACAGGTTAGAAAACATTTAGTCTAATCCAAGGAATGCTGGCTTTGCCCTGACTGTTAATTTTAAGACTCTTACTGGTCATAGGCAATGGCCTACACATCACTTTTATTCCATACTAAATTGAATATAAATAATGTAAAAGTATTGTGCTGTAGGAACTTAGGTATATTTTATATACTATTTTAGTACATCAGGTTCATGTGTCTACATATCTAACAGAAGCAACACATGCCAGGTGCAGGGGCTCACACCTATAGTCCTAGCACTCTGGGAGGCTGAGGCAGGTGGATCACCTGAGCTCAGGAGTTTAAGACCAACCTGAGCAAAAATGAGACCCATCTCTACTAAAACTAGAAAAACTAGCCTGGTATTGTGGTGGGTGCCTGTTGTCCCAGCTACTCTGGAGGCTGAGGTAAGGGGATCACCTAAGCCCAAGAGTTTGAGGTTACCATGAGCTAAGATGCTACAGCACTTTACCTAGGGTGACAGAGTAAGACCCTGCCTCGAAAGAAAAAAAAAAGAAAAAATAAAACAAAATAAAAGCAACATACCAGCCAAATACATACCCAAACCAATAAAAATGATTCTTCCCAGGAAGGTCTGATGACTCTTAGTTTTTGATTTCTTGAATATCAGTGAAAACTCACCATTCATATAAGCTCACCATTCCTTTTTCAATATATCCATTCCTCCTCTCCCACCCATACTTTCTTCCTCTTTCCACCCACTCCCTGCACCTTGTACTTCAAAGAAAATCAAACATATTTACCCCAAGGCATTCCTATGAAGGATCCAATCAGAGTGCAGTCCAAAAAACAAAAAAGAAAGGAGAGGGAGAAGAAAGATAGTCAGAACTTTTGTGGGCAAAAAGAGAATCTTACAAAGGACAGGAAACTGAAGAAGCACAGGCCCAAGGGGCCCCACCCACAGCCTTGGCACTTGCAGAGTCCACACGCTTTGTAAGAGGAGGGGCCAGTGCACCCTTTGCTCCATGGCCACGGTCCCAGCCATGGCCCTACCTGCAAAGGCAATGGCCATTTGCCAACACTAGTGAAATTGACTCTAACTATGGACACCCAGCTATTATACTTCACTCCACAGAGCCTAGTTTAACTGCAGTTTTCTAAACGTAGGCTTTTTCTTTCATTTCCTTTGTAGTCTTCAGACAAGCTCTCTCCATTTCCACTTCTGAGAAACCAGGTCAGAGGAACTGCGCCTGCTCGGTTCGGGGCCAGAAAACTTGGGAAAGGCATTTGCAGTCACAGGGGCATAGCCACACTTCTTAAGGGTCTCCTGTGAAGAGGGACATGCAACCACTCTGAAAAGGCCACTGTGATACCTCTCAAAAGCTAGACCAGCAACATCATTACACCACCTAGAAATGAGGGAAGAGGCATTTGTCTGTCAAGGTCATGATGTCACACCACAAGCTTACCTTAGAATAAGCTAAATGAGTAACTGTCCATCATGAGCTATTCACAATGCAATTTGAGGAAGAAAAATCAGCCCAGCTCTGTTGGTGAGGAGTAACTCCCCCCATCCCCAAAATTTATAACAGCAATTCAGAGCATAAATATCTTTGAGACAGACATGAGAACTTTTCAACTCTTTAAATATTTATTCTTTATTCTGGGTCAGACTTATAGTAAGCACTTCTAGTTGCAAATCTTTAAGCCTCCTACTAACTTTACAACCTAGGTATTACTATGCGCATGTCACAAATGAGATTCAGAGAGGTTCAGTGAGTGTCCAGCATTAGCTGGTAGAACTGGGACTTGAACTCAAGACTGCATGATGCGTGGAGCTCTGGCTTTTAACCACTAAGCCTCTGCACTAGCAGGTTTTGGTTCAAGGCTCAAACAGCTCACCAAATTTTCGAACTGAAAAGACCCCTGATCTCCATTGGGTAACTTCAAAGGAAACTGAGGTCCTGGGAAAATGTGTCTTGCACAAGATCAGAGAGTGAGCTTTGAGTCACAGGTGAACATGTGTTCCACGATTCCCTATCCTGGCCCGCTGCTGCAAAGAAGTTTCCAGAATTTGGGCTTTTGTTCCTTGTTGCTGATTGCTACAAAGGTTATATTTTCCCCTTCTTTTCTTAATTTTTTCCAAGATACCACAAACCTGTGTTATACTGCCACATGTCACAAGCAAAGCCTTCTAATGGCCAATTTACTCAGTAAATGATCCTGTATTTGGAATTATGTAAGTTTTCACTATAAATACCAAATGAATTGTAATTTGGCAATTAAACCCAAGGCCTTATAAACCTTAAATCCTTAATGTGCTAACCTCTAACTAATCAGAGGGCAGGCATATCTTCCCTTAACTTATGACAGCATCTTCTCACATACAAGAAAGGACATGTGGTAGGTCATCTACATAGACTTTGATTCACTCATATAACAAACATCTATGGATTCCTTACTATATGTCAGGCTTTGTTCTAGGTATTGAATATACAGCTGGGAGCAAATGAGGTCGCTAACATCTTGGAATTTACCTAGTTTAGTAGGGAAGAAAGACCTCAGGTAAACAAACACCCAAATAAAAGCACAATTGCCAGTTGCCACAGCAAAAACAAAATCATTTGATAGAAAAATTTCCCCAAACCTACATAAATTGCCCTTCTTTCCTAGATTGTATTTAAGTAGAAATGAAGAGAAATCTTCCATATCTCTAATATGTGGGAACAGGGTGGGAGGTCAACCTATGGCAGTGGTCTAGGGTCATGTACTCCAGGCTTTAGCCTTCTGCTTAGCCTAAGTCCATCTCATGGAGACCTTCATATCTAGTGGAATCTGAACAGGTTTTCAGAGGTCACATTCACAGATATCCATCTTATGAAGGAAGGCCCAATATTTCTTGCTCCTCCCACAAATCTGAATGGAGGACAGAACTTGCTCTCTATAATTGATTCCTAGAAAAATATCACAGTGCAAAACAAAGGCGGTTTCTCACCATTGTGTGTGTGCTCCTTGTTTTGGTTTCTTGATGGTATCCTCTAATCTTAACAGCTAAGTGTGGCTGCCAAACTACTGGGGGGGGGTCTCTTTGTTCCATTCTAACTCTCACAGATCTAAGCCAGGACAGCACTGAGACACAGGCCCAAAGTGAAATAAAGAGCTGTCACTGCCCTATGCAGCTTTCATCAAGTCTTTTCCTGTACAGGAACCACTGAAAAGCTGTAAGTTTGCATGGTTGCAGAAAAAAAGTGCTGCATCCTGATTTAAAAATGTGAAATTTAAGGTGTACTGAATAACAAAGTCATAGAGTCAGGAAAAGCCTCCACAATTTAGTGCCACTAAAATCTATCATAATTTACACACAGACGAGGCCAAAGTCCCGCTCCCAAATCCACACTACGAGAGTTACTTAAGCCATTATCAGAGCTGACGTGATTGCAAGGGAAGTGTTTTACCAAACTAAGAAGACGAGTTCTTCAAACATTTTAATTGAGGCAATTTGTTGGGCAATAATTTATGTGCTTTTTATAAATCATTTAAATACAATCATTTGATAACACTTTGCTAGTCTTTGCTTCTAAATGTATGATCAGAATTTCTTTTTACACTGCCTAGCTAATTAGTGAAATTTCATCAGGTTTTAAAATTGATGCTAATGTTAAAATCTGAAGATAATTCCACATGCCAGGATGTGCACTAGTCCTGCTCAATTGGGCCACCCATTTTATCATTTATTTCCTACTTATTTGGTTAAGTTTCTGGTTGCTCTCCAGAAAAGAAAAAAAGCCACATGTCTTTCTTGTCTCAACAGTAAAAGATAAGAATTTTCCAGTTCAATTGTCAAGCTGCCCTCCAGATCTTTCTTACGTAATCACTCATCATTCACTGTAATCTTGCTCTTCGGCTACCAGGTCCCCTTCCCACATGGTCTAAAGCCAATTTCAGCTAGTAACTGACTCTCCTCCCAGGGGGAAAGAGCAGGGACACCAGATTCTGATGAACCCCTCCTCTAAGTGTCATGACCTTCCACCTTCCCTCATGAGCCCAGGAGGGAAGAACACAGGGATGTAAAGAAGTCTCTCGCCTTAGGGGAATAGCCAGGCTCCTGTGGGTGCAAGGTGGCGGCAGGGGTCAGGCCATGCAGAGCCTGAGCGCCTCACTAAAGTGTCTGGACTACTACTGGGTAGGCAATAACAGCTACCATTTATTATACAACTACTAAGTAAATATATTTTATCTTATTTCTCACAGGACCAAAATAAAGTGAGTTATTTTAAATTTTCACTCATAGAAGTGGAAGCCAAGGTTCAGAGCTGAGGCTGCTCATAATTACTAGTGCTGGGATTCAGACTTCAGTTTGCCTGACTCTGAAACCCATGCTCTTATTTACGATGTTATAATGCCTTTCTGATGGGAACCACTGAAGGGTTTAAACCAAAGAAGAGAACAGTAAAAGAAACCTGCAGTTCTGAGTTCAAATACTGAGCTACCCATCTCACTCCTCTTAATCAGCTGAGAGTCTATGAGGGTTCATAGGAGGAAAAACTCACAGATGAAAAGCTCAGGGATGCCCTTCTACATCTGGCTTACAGGTTTTGAATGTCTCCTGGTAGAGACAGGAGGATCTGGAGACTAAGGAAAGATCCATACAAAGCCACCACTCTGAGTTTATAGGGGTTAAGGAGTCGGAACTAACTCGAACGTCACAGATAGCCAGGAGCTTAATATCATGGAGAAAACACTGAACTTCAAAGCAGAACACCTCCTTTGCTCAAGAGCAGGATTTGCTATTTACCAAATGAGTCAGACTAGTCAAACTTTGGGCAATCTACTTCTCAACCACAAAACAGGACGTTCAGTGTTGAAATAGAGAGAATGAAAGCACTTTAAAAATTCTAAAGACTCATGGAAATAAGAAGGAATTTTCCCCCTTTGCATTGTAAATGCTTGTCTCTCTGGGACCTGGAAGTAAGGCCAGGTTCATCTGCTTGTATGATGAATTTAAATTGGGTACTTTGACCTTGTCACTGTTCACTGCCGCTAGTTGGGGACTATTTTTCCTCCTGGTCCATGCCCCAGCATCTCTGGGCATCACCCTGACCCCTAAATCCATTGTTATTCTGTCATCTTTCCTTGCTCTGTGACCAGAGCACTGGCTCTACACTAAGTGGTAGGCGCCTTATCCTCTCCTTGCATGTGGACCTCAGTGAGCTGCTCATCAACATTCATGAGAGTCTTTTGCAGACTCTCTCCTTGGCAATACACAGCACTATACTCCAACCACAAGGTATTTTTGTCCAAGCACTGAGACACTCCAGGAGACAGCAAAGCATCCAACTCTTAGCAGCTTTGTCATTCATTCTGGGGAACAGTGACATTATTTATCTTTCTTCTTAGTCTTAATACACCCAAAGACCCCTCATCTGTTGATAATCTTGGAGCTAGCTGAAGTCTACCCAATACATTTCCCCAGCAGGATACTAATTTGTAATTCTAGGTTGTGTGTGTGTAGCAATGGCTGGCAGGTCACATGATCTGGGTGGCTACTTCCAAAGTCCCATGACAAAGTCTTCTGATCTAAGTTATTCTAAAACCTGCTTCCATATCTTGAGGGCACTGTGATGGGTTTCTCGAATCAGGCAGGACTGGTCTTTCCCAACAGTGGTGAAGGTTCTGGTTAGACTCCTTCCTGGTTACCAGAAGGATGGGGCTGTGTCTCTGATTGGAACATTTCATTTTGCTTGGTTCTGTGGCCACAGGCTGAGATCTCATTTACAACCAATTATCTCTCCAATTTCTGCTGTTAATAAAGAAA